TTTTTGAATAGTATTTCATTTGAGCTACTCTGGACTTAAGAAATAATTTCTTAATTGGATTAATCTTTAAAAAATTATAAAACTTCTTTACACATTAGTGAAGAAGTGCAGTTCCTTAAATTGGGTACTTACATATGCTGTAATACAGTTATGGTATAATAGTTCAAGTACTTTTGGTAAATTAGAAAGTTGGGGTTTTTTTTTTTCAAACATAATGGAAGATTATTTCTTAAAATTTAATTTAGCACCCTAATAGAAGACTTTYATTATTTTAAATAAGGTGTTTTAAATGGAATACTTAGACTACTGTAAGTTTTGATGCAAAAGTGGAGATGGAGAGAGATCATACCATAATAGAATAAAATAATTCAGCAAGATACCTTGGCATTTTGCTGTTGTGGCTCATGGTGACTGTTTTGATTTTGACCATTCTGTGCAAAGCGCAGAAAAAATACAGCAATTATTATTGCAGTATACCTGTTTCATAGATTTATTTTACTTTAATTTTTTTCTTGACTTTTAATGAGTGGTGCCTTGTATTTCTAGTGTATCCCATATGTGCATGTGTTTCTTCATATATATATATATATATATATGTATGTATATGTATATATAAAACTTTTTATATATGCGTGTGTGCGCACACATTCTGTTGCATTTGGGCATGAATATTAGCTGGCAATTTATGGTAAGCATACTTGTACTCCTTGTGTAAGAGATGTAGGTTAAATAAAGTTTGCACAAGTTGTCCAAAGTAATGTGTCAGTCCCGAGGTAGCTGTAGCRGAAACTATAGCTAAGGCTTTATATTGCAGTATGTAGAAGAAATATATGAAGAAGTGTAAGGGAAATAATTGTGTTAAAGGCACTGTGCTTTGTAAGTGGTAAACATACCTGATCATTTGCTTTCCTTCTGTTCAGAGTAATTTCCYAGTACCAGTCTCTAATTTTGAATTGTGTATGTCATGCTTTCACTTTAGAAAGAAATCAGAATAGTTCGTATAATTGTCTATAAAAATTTCTGTTAAAATCCCTTGTTTTTTAAGCACTATTATAGTCAAAAAATCTGTTTATCTTCTTCAAAGAAATGTTATTTYAGAAATAAGAGCTGACATTGGATTAAAAGAATGGGCAGATTTTTTATGAAGACCCAGTACTTAAATGCAAAATCACATTTGTTTTCACAAGCCTGGAACATCTTTTGCTCCCTAATTTCAGTCTTGTTTGCTATGTCAGCAGCAAGTGAGATCCATGGCCCTGCAGCTTAAACTAGTTCTATCTTGTTTATTTCTGTAACACAAGAACAAAGCTTTGTTTAATAAACATTCCAAGAACACGATAATATCACGTTATCTGCTTGTCTACTGTACAAAGACAACTTTCTTGTGAATGTTCTAGGGCATTCTTAAGGTGAAAGGCTTTTATGGCCTGCCAACATCAGACTGAGGCATTCTGCTTCCTTCAAAAACTCATCTTAGGGTTTTCATACTATTATTATTATTTTTGAAAATTAACATATATTTAGGAATTCTTTCTTCATTCAACTGTATGGTAGCATTTTAAGCTGTGCCTCTCCCTCCCTTCCCCTCTCCTCCAAGGGCCAAGTAATAGAGGCAAGTGTACATATATAATGCGTATGAAAACACATATGTGTGTGTGTATGTATGTATTTATATATGCAAGAAATTCTTGTACTGTAATTGCTTCTTGCTTAAGAAAATTCTGGAATTACCTTTTTTTGTAGTTAATATAGCTTATAAAAATGCACTCATACTCACTCCGGTTAAAATGAAGATGGGTGACATGAACTATCGTGGATAAGTCTTGCAATAAAAATTAGATGAAGTGACTGATATACAGAATTCATTCTTGTATCTGAGACACTGTTGGGGTATGAAAGGTATTTCTTACTCCTAAGTATAGTCTTCGACTATACTACACTAAAATACCTCTGGGATGAATAAAATTAAGTGTCAAATTAGCTCATCAGTTAATTTTATGCATTTTGTTTAGATAAATGCCTTGRTAAGATACTACTGCTTAGGAATCTCATTTAGAGCTGGAGTCTGAGGTCCAGGGAGTGCGTAGGAGGATCTGACATCTCTGCAGAGGTGCAGTCTAATGGATGAGTTACAGGGGAATAGCAAAGAACCAAAGGAAGGACACCTTAGAAGGAGGGGAATATACTAGCTTCACTCCTAAAGCGTGTGTTCAGTGTGAGGAGTAATGGARACAGTAAGCAACAGTAAAAAAAGGGAGACAGTTGCAGTTTTGTTTGCCAGAAAACATAGTCACCTTCTTATTCAGACACTTTTCCATTGCAATATGGAACTTCCCTATCCTCTGTGTCCTTTGCCTTTTGTCTTTGAAATTGTGGTTCTCCTGCAGGCAAACATTAACTAAACATCAAAAATAACCTCCAAGTCATCATCCTTCTGCTTGGCTGTAGTTATATTTGGAAGCTCTTTGAAAAGGCCTTTTTTTTCCCCCTTTCTACCTCTTTGAGAACAGATCAGCTCTCAGACTGAGAGTTGGTTTAGAATAGATATTAGAAAGAAATTCTTTACTGTGAGGGTAATGAGCTACTGGAATAGCTGCCCTGAGAATCTTTGGATGCCTCATCCCTGTAAGTGTTCAAGGCCAGGTTGAATGGGGCTGTGAGCAGCCTGGTCTAGTAAGAGGTGTTTCCACCCATTTCAAAGGAGATGGAGCARGACAAACTTTAAGGTCTCTTCCAATCCAAGCCATTCTTTATGTTCTCTCCTATGATTGTGATGGTGTGACACTGGGTGATTTGAGGCTTTCCTGTAAAGCTGGAAATTGAGAGAACCAGAAGCGAGAAGTATACTAAATCTTGGAAGTGCTGATAAGGCCTAGAGGGGCATGCACTGCAGGTGGACTTCATGCACTTTGACACTTCAATTTGACACTTCAGTTTGACACTTCAATTTGACACTTCAATGTTAAATACATTTTTGATTAAGTTTTGTATGTGTTTCTATGTTATGTCTTTGCAGTGAAGCACTTCTTTGTGTTTGTTTTCCTTAAAACTGCCCCAATACAGAACTCTAAATTCAACAAAATGGCTTTGGGAAAAACTGTACTTATGATACTTCTGAATAACCTTTTTTTCTGATGATCTCTGGACTTAACCMGTGAATCACCAGTTGAGATAGTTTTTAACTGAAGAAAATAAGTGTTCTGTGATGATCAGGTCTGAAGTTCATGCCATCACAAGATCAAAATAATTACTTTAACATTTGAACAAAAATTACTACTCAATCTCCTCTCTTGGAATGGATTTCMAGTTAAATTGCAGTTCAGTACTGAACCTGCAGTTCTGTATGTCAGTTAAAAACAAATGCTGCTCTTTTGACCGGATGAATTACATTGCTTGGTTGTCTTGCAACTGAAGGGAGGACTGGACAGAAAAGGCACAAAAACCTACAAGTAATAAGCAATCATAAATAAATATATGATTATATTTAGTCTGCAGAATTATAGACAGTTTTTTCATTTATGAGATRGTGCCTGGTGTTCTACTGCTTGCAGTGTGGTAACTGAACACTGGCTGAGAATAGTGATCACAGTTTTCTGGCTATGATTCTTTTTGAAGCATCATTTAATTCTTTGTGGGAAAAAAWGTCTTTGGACCAAAATCTCCATATTTTTTATGTTATTTATATATTTTTATGTGTGTAATGATGTGGTAGTCTAGGCTAGTCTTGGTAAAAGTACTCTGTCATGTAAAAAACCTAAAAACATGTTCATCAGATTTGAAATTTATGTATCTAGCCAACCGTTATTCTGCTTTTTATTCAAGTCAACAGTTTTTATTTAATATATTAGAAAATAGCAGATTTGGTTGTAAGGCATGATCRTTTTTATCACTATATGGAAATCTGTCTTCAGTTTCTGTGAGACTGTTCTGCTCTTGAAACTTGCTTTTGTATATAACTATACTTAATTTTGATACCCTTTTGAATTTTTCCAGTACAAAGTCCTTASTAAATGTTCTAGTAAAACTTTAGCTCCCTTTAGCTCCTCCACCTTCTATTTCCCKTTTCAGAAATTTCAAAAATCATGAGAAAAGCTTTTGAAGTCTCTGTCTCCATTCTAAGAAAGATACTACCTTTTTCTGCAAGAACTTTGKTTTTTTTGCTTTAACTTTTTATTTAGATGTTTTTGTATCTCTGTCTTTCTTTTTCCTTTTCTATCACAAAACACTTGTTGCACAAGTATTATGCTCTTATAAGCATGGAGAAAGAGTAATTTGCCACTTCTAGTATTCAGTTTAAGATTGTAGACATCTGTATGATCTGTGCAAATACCTCTGTACTTCTGACTGTATAGTGTTTTACATGGATAGATGCATGTACTATACTGTTTCATACTTCACTGTCACACTGTAAGTAGATAAAGCTTTACATTATTCTTGGGGTTTTCTTTGGGGTCTTTTTCAATTTTATTTTTTTTTCTATATATATTTTAGGCATATGCATCAGGATGTGATATTGTGGTACTGGGGACTGACTTTGAAAGATTACAGATAATCCCTGGAGCAAAACATGGAAACATTCAAGTGGGATGTGTGGACTGTTCAATGCAACAGGGGAAGGTATGTAGAGCAGTGTTTCTAATAATGTTGCAGTGATGTCACGTTGAGCACCTGCTCTGGAATATGGATACTTGCAAGTTAAAGCAAATACACTAGAAAGAAGAATAAAATGACTCATTGCTTTCTGTCTTCACTTGTGAGCAGCACAATAAATTTGAAATAGTAACCATAGATATTGATAGATGGTTGTAGAAGATAGGTGGGACTGTACAGAAGGCTGTGGATTCAGGGCTAAATAGAGGACATGGCAGGAGTCGGTCTAAAAGATGACTAAGTTGGATGCTAAAGTAATTTATTCACTGTGGCTGTGCACTTCTGGGCATGTCATGGACATGCTTTGACATGTAAGTGGCTGGTAGGAGGTGAGTGCTTCCACAAAAATTGCTTTCAGATCATCTRGAAGCATGTAATCCGTTTCAAGTAGTTCATGAAGCCTCTCTTGGACAGGGTTTACTTTCTTGAATTCTTAGCTTTTGTTCTTTGTGGATTGGTCTGCATCAGAGATGTATTTTAGATAATACTGGGCTTTAAGTCCTTTTAACAAAGCTTTTTCCTAATTTTTCGGTCAGAGTGAAATGGAAATAACCAGATAAATGTCCAATGGAACATCACAGTGAGATTATTAACCAATTCAGTAGGAACTATGTCTGGATAAATACTTGTTCATGAAAGCAGGATTTTCTGCTCTTTTTGTTTAAGCCTGTCCTCATGAGGAGATAGTGTCCACTTTATGCACATTACTACAAGCCTCATGAGCTAATGAGAGCTTTGGTTACATATGGGTGTCCATTTTGAGGCAAGATGTCTAATGGAAACCAGTTTGTGTTTACATGCAAACTCTGCTGATGAAACCCCAGCCACTCCCTGTTTCTGCTTTTTAGTGTTTGAGCGATAAACTCTTGCAGTGGTAGTGAAGGAACACAAGTGCAAATGAGGAAATAATTTTTCTGTGTGTCTCTGGCACCTCATAGCAATGAAGTCTACTTGGGTTTCTCTTCTTGGATGCTGTTAACCAGGAGGTTTTCTTTGAGTTTGGGCATTATTTCTGTAAATTTGCAAGGTCATCTTGGTTGCATGATACTAATTCTGTATGCATTTAAATGACAAATTGTCCTTGAATTGTAAATTAACACATATGARTATATCACCCTGTAAGGCTTATTAAGCATCAGAATTTTTTAATTTCTTAAGTAGACCTATGAGGTCAAGTCTGGAGGTTAGTATTGTTTGCTGTCAGGAAACTGGATGTGTTTGCAGGGTGCTGAAGTAYTAAGCAGTGAATGGCTAGGCATTTGCTTATTGACCAGACTGATCAAAACATTTACAGGTCACTCTTGAAAGGGTGGAATTTTTTCTGAGACCTTCTTCATCAGTATTGACACACACCAAAGTTTCCTCTTTGGTTTGTCAGAGTGTTGTACAATCCCAATGCTCTCAGTATGTCTTCATAGCAGACAGATCTGACCATTTTTGTGTCCCTTCTTTGGACCCAACATGTCTGTGTCTTTTTGGTTCTGGGGACACTGGATTTCRTACTTCATGTGATGTCTCATTAGGGATGGAAAATCACCCCCTCACCCTACTGGCCACCCTTCTTTTGAAGCAGTCCAGGCCAGGGTTGGCTTTCTGTAGTACAAACACGTTCTGCCAGCTCATGAGCAGTTTTTTGTTCACCAGTACCCCCGAATCCATGTCCACAGGGCTGCTCTTGTTCTGTTAATTTCCCTAGTCTGTATTGATAGTCAGTATTGATTTTCATGACCCAGGTGTAGGACCTTGCCCTTGGCCTTTGTTGATGTGCATGATGTTCGCACAGTCCCACCTCTGCAGCCTACTAAGATCCCTCTGGATGGCATCCCTTCCTTTCAGCATGTTACCTGCCCCATACAGCCTTGTGTTGTCCAGGAACTTGCTGAGGGTGCTCTCAATCCCATTGTCTCTATCACCAGGGGTGACTGTACTGCCCTCCTGTTGAGTAAGACTTCGCTGCACATCACATTTTTGATACCACAGCTTGGGACTACCATAGATGTTTGTTCRATGTTTGGATGATTATTGTGGTAGTTTGAGGAATTCTTTAAAACACTAATTGCCATTATTCTTTTTGGTGGCATGCAGCTCAGTGAGGACGAGGACTGAGTGGCTGTATCATTGTGAAAGCTGGTGGAAAGTTTCAGGGGGTAGCAGTTGCTCTGGACTCTGCAAGTTGAGCATATTGGAATGCATATGATCTTAGTTTGTCCTTAAAATCCACTAAGGATAAAATAGGGAAAAAGTTAATCAATATGAGTTTATATAACCTTTTTGCTGTTGAGTGTGGAATGGAATTATTAGAGAACAAAACAGTAAGTGAGGTAGTTAAAGAGAATTAGAGAGGGCAAATACTAGTCTGAGATGCAAAATGCCTGAAGAAACTTTTTCCTTGCAAATGTGACAAAATTATTCTTGGCATTTTTGGGTCAGACTGATGTTTAGATTGTTAGTAGGATAGAAATTTATTTAACTATCTGTTCTTCTAATGTAGAGGTTTCTCTTAAAGCTATGAATCTGTGGATTTTAGGATCTGTATTAATCTTTGTATTTATATAGATCTTAGGTATGATGGCTTAGGGTTTTTTCCAAGACTTTYGGTTGATACTGAAAGCAAAATATATTTTATAAAGTGAATCTAATTTTATTATTGTTGAAGGAAAACATAGGTATTTACGAAGCTGTAATTTTACAGAAATAGGAAATTGATTATTACAGCATATCACATCTGTAGATGTTCTCCTTTTAACAACAGCTGTCACTTCAGAATTCAGGATGTCCATTATGCATGACCTATGGAAACTCCTTAATTTTTGTAAATCTGTAATTCAGAATAGTTTTTGGCAACATTGTCATATGACAGTTCTCTCAGGCTGTCTGCCTGAGGTCTTTAACTTGCAWTTGGCTTGTTTTGGCTCTTCCAAGCAAGTCTTCTGGGGTTGCTTTTATATACATGTCTTGAGATCAAAGACTGTTTATTTTGTCTTAATGCAGGTTTGAGGTGGATAATAACCTGTGATGAAATAAGACTTTCAAACACTGATTAAAACTGACCATATTGCAACTTTTTTTTARCTATTTTATGTTAACCTTTAGTAGTAATTTTATTTGTAGCTTTTTGCATTGGGTGTTTTGATTGCATAGTTTGAGTCTTTGTCTTTTGAAATAACTTTTAAAAAGGTAGCCTGTTCTAAAGCTAGGGAAGTGCACAGAATTATTCTGAGCCTATATTGGTTCCATGTCTGAGAATGTGAACTCTGCAGACTGTTTTGAGTGTTTACCTAATTTGATACGGAAAGAATAGTGCTAATAATATGACTAAAAAAAAAAAAAAAGATTCTTGTCCAGCAATACTCTCAACAGTTCWTCATGATTAATGAGTAAATAAAGGATTGTATTTTTATTATTGACAACACTAGCTTCATGATTTTTGGTAGATGTCATTTTTCTATTATCAAAAAAAGAAATATGGATGTCAGTTTCAAATTTATCTACAAGCAGGKTTAAAAGTAAAATCAACTATTTGCATTTTATTCTTGTTAGTTCAATAGCTTGTTTCTTCTTTGTGTGTTTAAATACATATTGCTTTAGATTGCAGCTTCTTACGGAAAGGTGATTTGTATCTTTGAGCCAGTTAGCCTCTTGAAGCAGAGCAGCAGTCATCATAATGTAAGTATTTAATCACCCCTGAATTTATTGAGCAGTTAAAAAACCTGACTCATTTTAGTGGCTTGCTTTAAAGCTTGAGATTTTTTTGGTATCTTCTTTTAATGATGGAATAAAGTTGTGATGTAAGGTGGTCCTTAGGAATTGAAAATGGTGGGATAAGGCCTATAATTTGAAATAGTTTTAAGAAAGATAGGTTTTATACTATAATGTCTCATATTACTTATGTAACCCTGCATTTCATAACCAAAATGTTCCAGAACCYGAAAAGACATACACAGCCCCATTCTGCAGAGAGTGTAGCCATTAAAATAGCATTCCTTTTTTGAACCATCCTGTGTAGCCTTTATGTTTTGATGTGTTCTACAGTTCTTACTCTAAYTTTTACTTACGAAATTGCATGCCTTTGGCCAAATTGTAATAGTTTCARAAATCTGTGGGTTTTTTAGCCTATCTGATTGAATTATTGTACTTCAGTTTTATAGTGGTSAATAAGAACAGTAATTCTTTTCTTGGGGCTTACTTTTGGTGACAGTTGTTTAATGATTAATATCCAGAATCCTAATTTCTGAATAATAATAATAATACGATTTAGAGTGAGTTACTTAACCATGCTTTTTACATGAAGAGGAATATGGCTATAATTAGAAGCATTAGATTCTAATTAAAGTCAGTTTGATGATACTAGAACTTTGACAGCAATTGCTCAAGGAGCTTTTGTCTGCCTCTTCAGGGGTTTGGTCTCCATTTGTACTAACACATTGTTTATRTGGCCATCTAGTGGATTCCCCTCTTCGTTCTATCCAATTGAGTCATAAGGTTCTTAGTGTACCTATAAACTTGTGGTGTATTATCTGTTAATTAAATACCTGGAAATTAATATCTATGTAATAATTTATATCACTGGAAAGCAACGAAATAAAATTACARTAAGATGTGAGTTCTTATGCTCCTATGAACTGCTCTTGAGCTGCCCCAGAAGCACAGAACTGGAAGTTTCTTTGTCCATTCACTTGTTTTTTATTCCATCCTGAATGTTTTTCTATACTGGTAAGCATTACACTTAGCTTGAAACTTCAGGAGTCATAACTGTAAGCAGTAGAGGAAGCACTCACCACCCATTCATTATTTGCTTTCAAAGGTTTATAGTTGAAGAAATAGTCTGTTACTTCAGTTACTTTTATGCAATAATTTCCAGCGTATTGTTCAAAGTTATTGTAAGATTGTCTTCCATTTACTAGAATGTCAAGGGTCTAAAAAATCCCAGCTTCAATAATACTTGTTTTAGATCCTTATCTGTAGCTGCTTTTTGCCATTTTCTGCCAAACTTCTGAAAGACTGAGCTGTCTTCACATCTATTTAGTGTGATACTTTTGGGCTGGGGGATGATTACTTTAAAAAAAGTTTGTGAATTCAGAGAGAGMTCTGTTGGCTCCTAATATCATTTCAAGAAATATTTTCAGTTTCTTATATAATTCAGACCATCAAATCTTTGTGGTCTRTTGTGGAAACAGATAAGATAAATATTTTGTGAACTGAATCTTCAATTTGTTCTAGTGAGTGAAGTAGTGATGCAAAAAATAAAGGTATTTGACTATCCTGTTGGATATTAATAAAAAATAAAACTCAGCAGAGGGGAACTATCCTAGGTGTTATCTTCACCTTTCTGATCACCTCTAATTCAGCAATGGTGTGGATATCAAATGCCAGGTGCRTTTAGTTTGTGTCATTTTTGAAATATTTTCTTTGTCCCAAAAATAAAATCTTACTTCCCCTTAAAAAAAAAAATCTCAGATTCCAGTGGTGATTTTATATACTGATTTATATACTATTTCTGTTATAAAATGAGGAGGGGGGGAGGTGTGAAGTGTTTTCATGCTAATGTTTGTAAATACTTAAAATTTCAGATGTTACATTACCAGTGGCAGAAGAATGCGCAAATCTCACTGGAAGCCATAGCACATAATCTAACGTGGGATCCCACAGGTATAAATTGATTAAAAGAAACATCTGTCTATTTGATACCACAACTACTTTTTTAATTTGAATTTTGTCATTCTTTGTGGATCAGGAAAAGGTTTCCGTTTTGTCCTAGCATGATAGAGAACACCAGAGAGGAGTGAAATTTAYCTTTTGTCACTTACTGCAGGAGAACTAACATACTAAATGTATCTCGTTGATCTGACTTGATTGTTCTCATCTGATCAGATAAGAAAACATGGCTTAAATGGTAAATATTTGTTGAGAAAGAGGAATGTCTAGAGTAAACCTAGGCATTTCTTTTAGGGAGTAACTAAAATTTGATTATTTTTCACAATTTACACTGTAGGTGCTCAAATCTACCAAAAAAAGCAGTTTCAGCTTTGCTTTTCTTTTCACTCTTTACAAAAGTCTATATTTCGCTACTTGTTTTGTAGTTAGATTTTTCATAAGTATTTGGTTTAGGTACTCGCCTTCTGACTGGTTCCAGCTGTCTTCARCTTTGGTCCAATGTTCCTTTGGAGAACCCTGCTGACAATGACAGTACTGAAAGAATAGATGTTGGTCTTGGAGAGTGGMGATGTATCTGGCAATGCAAGTAAGAAACACGTTTGAAGACAAATAATTTCCTTTTCCTTACTGATTCATATGTTTAAGATTAAATGCTTAGTGTAGTTAAATGAAATCCTGTTGCATACTGCTATTTGATAAATATTATTGCTGTGAAAGAAACTTGAATTTTATTTCCCTTGACTATGTGACATTTCTTTCTTCTTACAAGATCAGTTGCAGGTGGTTTGGGGGCAGTTCTTCAGTTATACAGAACACTAGTATAAAATACTGAGGGAAGGCTACTGTTGAAGCGCTCCCAATAGGCACTGTTCCTTGTTCRAGAAATAAGGTGAAAGCTGTGTAATTGAAAATTATTGTGCTTGAAGGACTGGTTAAAATAAGCTTCCATCAGTGTTCAGTGTACTGCATCGTTCTTTCCTTCTCACACATTTTCCCCCCTTTCACACACCTCTTACTTTTTCTGGGTTTACTCTGGGTATTTGAAACAGTCATGCCAAGTTATACATCTCTTTTTCTGTGTCTCGGATTGCTCTTCTTGTATTCATGTTGATTTTAATATTTGCATCTTTGTACTGTACATTCAGAAGAGTTTTGGTTTAGGACTTAAGTTTAAAAGACAAGTAAAAAGCACTGTCCTTCATGCCATAGGCAGACTTTTATAATACAGTGGGTGCATTGTTCACTTGGGAGTAAGGTACCATATGGCCATCTCCCAAAGTGTTTCCCAAAGTGGCAGACCCACCTGAAGTTATTCTTTATGAAGCATTTAGCATTCTAGTAGGCAGTTCTATAGACAGTTCTCTGGATGTACCAGAAAAACATACTTTTCATAATCCTTTGGTTCCTCTTTTTTGTACTTGAACTTTCATCARTGATGAGTTTGAAAACCCAAGATCATCCAAATGACACCAGAAAAAATTTTTCTTTGCATACGATAAACTTTCTATACAAGAAGTTGAAGATTTATTATTTCTGGAGACATGTTTGAGTGCTCATCTCTCAGTCTAATAAGAGAACTCAGCCTGTAGATGACTGCCGTAGAATATGGCTTTAGAATTTAGGGTTCTGGTAACAGTAGTCAAGATCATGCAGATGRTGCCTTTCTTCTGTCCTTTCTGTAACAGGTTTTGCATTTGTATTGTATAAAGATTTACAAAAATCTTCTCAGCTCTCCACCTGTTTTCCTCTTTTAAACTCTTTTTGTCAGAGGCAGAGCTGAATGTCTTTTTCTGAATGAGTATGTCCTAGGAAAGGTCAATGGAACTTGCTTTTTCACTGCACGCTTTATGTCTGTATGTCTTCTGGAATTTGTACTSCAGTTAGATTTAGAATAGGTTTTTCTTACAGAGACGTTTGCAAGAAAGTGATTTTGCAGTACTACTCTTCCCAGAATAATTTTCAGTGCCTCAAGTCGTGTTTTCACATTTGTCTCAGTAGGAGGATTTAGCTTAAACCTGGATACGAATCTTGTAATTGCCTTGYTCTTTTTAATGCGCACACTAAAAGCATGGTGCTTTTGTTGACCTGTTGGCTGACTTAATCCCTCTTGAAAGTTAGGCCTCAATGACTTGTTACACGTGTAATTAAGATGAAAATGTACACTGTGTTGGGGCCGCACAATTAAGTGTTTGTCATTTCTTGTTACCATTAATAAGCTTTGTTACTTAGTCAATACCTGAGTGCTTCAAACCCTGTAAAAGTTCATTTTTCAGTATATCCAGTTAAAATAAAACACTACAAAAATAAACCACATAATTAGGTTTGGAATATTTTGGTATAGTATCTTATATCAATGTGACCATTCATGCAAAAGCTACTTTGATACTTTTAAACTACATTATTGTTAYGTTGAGTTGTAGGAAGTATGAGAAGTGGAGCTGTCTTTCAGAGAAGTTGGAAGACAATATGGTACAACTGAGATGAGTTAGCGATCCATATAATCGTGCAGTTTAATCTGTCAGCAGCTGCTTTTCTTCTGTGATATTTTTGAATTTTGGATATTCTGCTCCAGGACTTTGATTTTCTGGATTACTATAGCCGTATGTTGTGCATGAGTTTGCTTCTTAATCCTTTTGGACTTTGTTAAAACTTACACATTTCACACAACACAATAGCCACTTGTATTTAAGAATTAAAAAACTTGAAAGAAAATTTAGAATCCACTGAAAGTTGTTAAAATTTGTTCTCTTTTTTAATTGTCTTTATTCCATAGAACTGCTTCTCAAGTTTGTTTAATGAAATTCTCACCAGATGGGGAGTTTTTTGCTACTGCAGGAAAGGTAAGCATTTTTTCCCTTATCGCTTTGTATTAATTCAGATAAGCTATTAAAGCAAACCAACAAAACCACATTAAAATAAAAAAGGCTACTTAATAAAAAAAAAACCTTTTTTCATAGTTTTTGCATAGTCTGTGTATGTGTCTTTACATTTTGGTAAACATGAGTTTGGGAGAAAGGTAGGTCAAGGCTGGGAGGTAACAGACCAAGTTCTAAAATACTCATTTTTAATTTGTGCCAAATTATAAAACATTAGAAAAAGAAGAGTATGTGGGAATGGAAGAAATCTGTGGATGAGATCAGTGCTGGAYACCCTGTTAGTGAGTAAATATAATAAAAATACTGAAAAATACAAAAAAATTAAAAATAKYTCTTAAAGTGTTTTTGTGTAAACATATCTGTATGCCTTTTTGTGTTCATGGAAGAGAATTCACATTCTTTTCCACCGCCGTATTGGCACACAGCTCATGTCAGTGTYTGTGGCCAATCTCACTAAATAGTTCTGTATGCTCGACATTGAGCAGTTATCAGCAAAAGCAAAACCCCTTAGCAAAATAAGCAAAAAATTTAAAGCAAAAYGTCAGTCTTTTCCTGAAACAAACAAATCTTTTCTTGTTACTTCAAAAGTTGTTGTTCAGGTTTTGTAAGAGAATAATGTCCTAACAAGTCAAAACAGGAAAAAAATAAAATCAAGATCATGTAGAGGATCCAGTGAACAAAAGTGACAAACCTGTATGAGAATTATATTACTTATTAAGGAGTATGAGTGAGATTTGTGGTTGTTTTCTGAAAGAAAACAAAATGCTAGTATGTAAGGTTAATTAGGACAGTGCAGTTGCTGCGATTAGTAAAACCTGGTTTAAGTGTCAAAGAATCCTGAGCAGAATCCTGCTCAGAATGTGTTTCAGCTTCAAGAATAAAAGACAGTTTTGCAATTTGTTTTAGTCTGTCTCGAAAGCATGAGTAAAAAACAAGTGTGTATACATAAAAGGTGGTTAGAACAGTGATTTAGTAATAATGTGGAACTTTGYTGTTTGGGTCATAATGTTCCTTAATACATGCTTGAAGAACAAAGAGTCAAGGATGTTTCAGTCTGCAAATATATCTTGCTTTAGAAAGGCATTTGTCATACATATTTTTGTGATTCAGTTGTGTCCATCAGAAACAGATGAGTAATACACATCTTGATTAGTTGTATGAGGTTGTTTCTTCCTTTGAAGYTTGCTGTTTCAGGTCATCATGCTTGATTGGAAGACTAACCTTTAATGCATTTGCTATCTTTAAAGACRAGATCAAGAAGTAGCAAATCTATAAAATCACCTAGGTTTCCTTTTCTTGGGAAACTATATTCTAATTAATGAGCTTCCAGTATATAAAGTAAAATTCTAGACTTCCTTAATTATATATTATTACCTGTGTAATAAAATAGCAATAAGTTCTCATGCTCCATTTTTTTGTGCTTATTTAAATGTTGTGTTGCTTGCTATATGGTCTSTGATGCCTTTAGCCATTTACTGACTGAAAGGATAGCCATTCCAGCCTTGTTTCAGATAACTAATAAAATTTTCTGAGTATATATTTTATGTGAAAAACAGGTGTTTTGTCATTGTCAGCAATTTCTAAAAAATATGTAGTCAATTTTTTTGGATGGATAGGAGCTAATACTTATTTTACAAGTGAAGTGTAATGGTTTCTAGTGTTASAGTCTTATGGAATTGTGGAAAAATTTTTAATTATCTTGCAAATAGCTTCTCTAGGGGTAATAGTCTTGCAGAGTTTTTGACTCCAATGTCTTATGTCTTGTTATCCTACATTATAAATTCCTGCAAAGAAAATTACTGAATAAGTAAGAAAATCAGTGAGTATGAGGAAAATTAATAATGTATTTTTTACCATAAATGCCTAAGATATTACCTGCCTGGAGAGTCTTTAAAACGCATCTTTATTTCTATATCTTATTCCTTTAGTTAATTTTTTTATGAGGGATGATACTGGTCAGCAAAACCAACTCTCCCTCCTACCAGCAGTGTCATGTGTAGCATACCCAGGTTAATTCAATATTTTGGTACCATTCACATGTAGTAGTTGATCAACATCTTGTGTATCTAGATACAGATTAATTTATTTTTTCCTTGAAGGTATAGTCAATTTATGACAAAAAAGCAGGCTGAGCAGTACTGAGTTTGGTTTTTGAGATGTCATCCRTGACCTTTATTTGTTTTCCTAATAGTTAGATTTGTGCAGGGGGTTTTGGTGATTTTCTGACAAGGTAGAAGTAGTTGTATTAACATTTGAACACCATCTAGTACAATTTGTGTCTTTGTGGATAAAAATTGGCAGCTAATCAGAGGGACCAAAATGGCAAGGATTAAATTGAGTCTCTGCTACTGTATTTTCTGTATTTTCTTTAAGATCAGATTTTAAAGTTGTATTTACAGAACCGTTTCTCTCTGATCAGAAAAGTATTTTATTTTAAAGAAAAATGAAACCTCAAGAGATGTACTCAAAAGCACTTGAAGTGCATCATATTCTTATGCAAGGTAATCTTACTTACTGTCTTTTTTTTCCCCACAGGATGACTGTCTTGTGAAAGTGTGGTACAACACAGAGAGCTGGCGGTCAGCTGTAACACCAGCTGGTGTCAGTCCAGAAAACCAAGCAAAGGAGCTTGATTTTTCCTTTGTTTATTTGGCTCATCCTCGATCAGTAAATGCATTTTCATGGAGAAAGACCAGTAAATTCATGCCACGGTCAGTAGTTCTAATAACATGAGGTTCGTAAATTGCCCAAAAAACGCCCAGACTATACAGTCTGCTTCGCTCTACAGTCAACAATCACACAATTGTATGGTTTACTTTGGTTGAGTGTGTACACCTTTTATACTGTTAATGCACTTGAGAGGATGGTAAGCATCTTCTTATGGGAAGGAACTGGAAAGAAAAGCATCTCACAGACTGACTTAGGCATTGAACTAAGTACGAAAGCAGCTCTTGGAAAATCATGTCTCTGTGCATTTTTCGATTGCACTGAGTGACCATTCATGCATTTAATCCCAACTCATTCTATCCCGGTGGAATCAGAGCAATCCAAAAGTCCTGTGACTTTAAGATCTCTTTCAAAAAAATTCAAATATTTTCTTGTCTTTTCRTTTGTTTCTCTATCTACTACAAAGTTAGACCTCTGTCAGAAGTATTATCTGGAAATTGAAATAAAATAATCATTTGGAATGGATATCTTGAGCTTGAGGTTTTGGAATGGGATGATTCTGAAAYGATTCTGAAACAATCTGTGCCTAGTTTTCACGAATACTTACAATCTTAAACTGAAATAATGTTAGCAGTTTTGTGGCCTGCAGCCATCTCTTTGCCTTATTATTCCAAATAGTRACCAAATTTGCATACCTTTGTGTGGAGCAAGCCTATGTTGTTTTTTAATACCAGTAAGCAAAGAGTCTTTGTAAAGCCTTTGCTATAGCTTTAGGTAAATTTTGAAAATTAACCTGCCCCACAATTACTAAGGGAGTTTACTGCTGGTCAGTTGTAGCTTTCAAGCCTGAGTTAAAGTTTAATTGTGARCTTGATGAAATGGAAACCTGAGATCTGCGCTGTTTTTTTCATTGCCTAGTGTAGGGTAATGGGATTTTTTGGCTATGTATTTAACACAAGTTATGCTTGGAAAAASCAGTAATTAAGACAAACTTAAATTGTCTGTTGTATCCCTGGTACTACCTGAGTGTCTCTCTTTTGGAGATACAATTTTGTAAGTGGTAGATAGCAGTAAGATTCAGAATTGAGATCAGGTGTACAGAATATTACTATCTTTCTATGTGAATTGCTTTAAAAGATAAAAATAATAACTTTTGCTATACTAATTTTGCTTAAATTGAAATCCACAATTTGCTATTGTGTGATGATGTTTGAGGTAATTTATAGTCAGATACTTGAACAGATGGAAAAGCCTTTTCTATATCATTTGTTTTCCTACCTAACTATAGTATCTTTAATTTTATGCACTTACAAAACCCAGTAGCAGAGCAATGGAAAATAGTTTGGAGCTGTTGATTTATTTTGATGCTATATAATAGTTAGCAGCTTCTTCACTCCTTAAATTTTCTTTCATTAGTGGTGCAGTCTGCAATGTACTCCTGACTTGCTGTAAGGATAATGTTTGTCGTCTCTGGGCAGAGACTTTGTTACCCAATGACAGTCTGTTGTACGGGGGAGGATACACCAATTGGAGTGAAGCAGTGCAYTTCACAAATAACTTCAAGAGAAATATTTCAAGTAAAGAAAAAGTGCAGAGTGCTTTAGAGGTAAGAATTGAAATTGAACTAAGAGGTAAGAATAAAGTGAGAATAAACACAAGTAGAAACTTGTGCTTTTAGACAGGTTTGTAATTTGTACCTCAGATATGAATCACAGGCTGAAATCCTTTATACCAGAGATGTGCATAAAATGTTATGAAAGGGTGAATTTCCTTGGGCAGGCTAAGCTGACAGCACTTCTGCTGAACTTCTCACATTGAAGACACACTGTTCTAAAGTCACAGCTGCCTATTTTAGTCTGGTGAAGAAAAATGCTTCGCAGTATTTAGTTCAAAGGGCTGGGAACACTATGGAACCCACATTATGTATATAGGTTATGTGAAACCCAGTCATAATGCTGCCTTAAAATGTATGGTAGGGGCTCACTTGTTACCTCTTAAGTTGTGCGATGTTCTGTCTGACTTCTGCAATTGGAAAAACAGTAATATGGAGGGAAGAAAAACAACCCTTCTGCTGTAATCCTCAATTAGACCAGATTGCTTGTAAGCAGTAAGACAAATGACTCTTACCAGAGAGTGTTTCCTAACCAGTGGGAATCAGGAAGAAGGTGTAGCATTAGTGGTCGCCTTCAAAGGTATGTAGGTATTTGGGGGCATTATGCTTTTATATTAATGGACTGATGTATGTAGCATACTCRTAGCACTTTCTTAGCACATACAGCATGCCTGAAAAATATGACAAACTGAAAGGCACAGCAAAGAGAATAGTCAAAGAGAGGAGAGAASAGGAGGCTGGAGAAACTTCTGTGTTCTTGTGGAAAATAGGAGGCAACATTAGAGATCAGAAACAATAAGTATGTGAGAATTGAGAGAAGACTGTGGTATGATCATGCTGTGTTAAGATGCAAAGGTACAGCAAGTGAAAGGGAATGCCGAGAGTGTAATACCATTGTTAATACAAATTGTGTACCTCTGTGTACCTTTGGGCGCTTACATAGATGTCCACAGCACAAAAGGCTTGAACTATGTAAGCCTGTCTTAAAAAACTGAATATTATTTTTTCCCTTGGAAGCATGTATTTGTATACAAGAGGAAGAATTTAAAACTCATTGGGCCCTTTTGAGGGGTGTTGAAGTGCTGACCTAATTAGATGCAAAGTATGGATCCAATTTTTCAGTCTGAAACTCAGATTTGCTGCTTTTTTTAGAGTTTGGAATGAGCATGGCATATGTTTATGAAACAGTAGTATTTCTGTGTAAGTATAAAAGCCATATGAACATTGTCTGTGCACTGAAGTATGAAGTTACTACGCGAAGGTGTTTTATGTACCTTCATAAATAAATCTAARTGCGCTAGTTTCTCTGTACTGCAAACTCAACCCAAACAATTTTGCAAGACGCTCCACTGMTGCTTTACAGTAGCTTTTAAACTGAAAAATATCATTCACTGATGTCTAGAAAACCACTTACAGATGAAATCTGCTTTTTTTTTTTGAAAGGATTTTAAATGACACCTTGTTCTTCATGCAGTTAAACCTGAGGCACTTCAGACGTGGGAGGAGGAGGTCTGGTGCTGTTGTAGCACATACTGGATATGCTCCACATCAGCGAGATCCTCATGAAGCTCACAGGAACATTCCTCCTCATGCAAATGCCCTTTGCCACTTCCATATTGCTGCCAGTATCAATCCAGCCACAGGTAAGAAATTTAATCCTTTCTATGAAGTAGATTCCAATTTCTGTTAGGTATGTGTTCTCTCTGGAAGCTTAGTAGATGTTTTTTTACAGTATTTATATGAGCATGCAAAATTGCTGAGTTTTTTGTGCATGAAGGGACTTTCTACGGTAATGAAATTATTTTAATAAATTTTTTCTTCAGTAATCCTGTCCTTTATTTTGTTCCTTTTTTAATAGAACTAAGTATTTGTAACTGGAGTCAAAATTTACTGTGATTTGTGTCTGGGAACACACTGATAAAATAAGAAATTTGTAAGCTTCTTAAAGTCAGTAGCTGACACTAAGTGCTGAAATAACCACACATTCCTGTACTTCAGTCTCTGAACCAAACAAAACATGCTGTCACCCTGCATTCCATAAACTCTGATACTGTCTTGCACTGGAACAACATGTTGATAGGGGTTGAGAAAACCTCTCTGTACCTACTTCTTTTTATGATTTCTGTGTATGCTGAAAATGAAGCGCATGTCTGCTCAGTGAAAAACGGAATAGAAATGTAGTATTAAATGGCCTTGGATTAGGGTTCTGATGTGGTTTTGTGTGTCTAGACTTAATCAACAAACTATTCTCTTAAAATAATGAATCATTGTATTATACTATTTGTTTCTGTTCCTACTGAACCTGGTTTGAAAGGCTAATTTTCAGCTAAGGACATTCATGATTGGTACATATTTGTAGCTGTACAGTCTTTGGTATGATTGCAAAGAACAAGTGGTTTCCCTTAAAATTGCAGTGCTAAGCAGAGCTGTAAACACTTCCTTCTCGATTAGTCTTCAGCATTTGAGTTCATATTTTAACAGACGGACTAGAATCACATCCATCCTRCCAGAGGGGAATTTCTTGCAGTTTTGTGCTGTACCATCAGTGCTATCCTATGTCGACAGGAAAAATCATTACATGTTACTACCCAGTGTCACATGAAAAAATTGCTTGAAAGCTTCTCAGTTGTCTTCCTCTGTATTTTTTCCTCTTCAGTTTGCACAATGAGGCTAGCTAACCTTTTCTTGTGGGTAGCACATAATATTTCACCATGATTTTTTTTTAATCTACTCTTAATGCATTTCTTATTTTTATGCACAACAGCTGATGTCATGGTTTAACCCTAGCCCATCAACCAAGCCCCAGGCAGTTGCTTTCTCACTCTCACACTGACAGGACTGTGGAGAAAATCAGGAGGGTATAAGCCAGAAAACTTTYGGGTTGAGATAAAAACAGTTGAATTTGGAAATCAATAGCTGTGCACATTGCTAAGCAAAACAAGGAATTAGATCACTACTTCCCACAGGCAGGCAAGTGTTCAGCATTTCCAGGAGAGCAGCGCCTATCACACCTAACGATGACTTGGAAATGCCATCACTCCAAATGTCCTCCCCCTTCCTTCTCCTTCCCCCCACTTTATCTACTGACTGTGATGGTCTGAAGTGTCCCTTTGGTCAGTTGGGGTCACCTGTCCCAGCTGTGTCTCRTCCCAGCCTCCCAGGCATCTCAACTTTCTTGCTCGTGAGGTAGAGCCAAAAGCAGAAAAGTCCTTGGCTCTGTGTGAGCCATACTCAGCAATAACAAAAACATCTCTGTGTTGTCAACTCTCTGTTCAGCACAAATCCTAAACACAGCCCCACAATAGCCACTTGTGCAGAAAATTAACTCTACCACAGAATGAGGATAAAAATAATTTTGAAAAATATTAGAAAAACATTTTCCTAGGTACCTAAAACTTTGGTCTTCATAATCTTGTCTTCTTTTTATGTTATCTTGCATGAATCACGAGCTCTTTTAATGATGTCTTTTGGGTTGCTTGGTCTTTAACTCAGTCAATTGGAGGATAACAGGTTGTTCTTTAGTGTAGAATTTCTGAAGTAACTTTCACTTTTTAAGATTCTATTTGAAGAAATATATGTTCTCCCTGACAGCAAAATCCTTAAGTACCTTAGTCTAATCAAATTGCCTAGGTAGGTATTTTTGTTTGCCCTTTTAAAACTAAATTTAATCCAAAAACCTAATTGTATTTCCTTTAATTTGATTTAAAGCAAGTTGGTTTGTGATATCTTACTTGAAAATTTGCTGTTACTACAACATTTTTAAGTACTTCATAAAAACTAAAGCAAAACCAGCTTTTTCTCTCATTCATTTCAGGTTTTGAAGAATAATGCTGTCATACATATTTGTATAAGAATAATTATAATATGAAACTAAAATCCTTGAAACCTGCTTTTAAAGTATGATTTTACTTTTACTGGTGTTCAGCCTGGGTGGAATTCAGTGAAAGGAATAAGCAGTGGTTGCTAGGACAAAATTGTCTCTAGGCAATTTCAGAAAAAGTTACTGAATCCAAAGAAGTTTTCTGGGAAGAGTGATTGTGATTTAAGTAATGCTGCATAAATAGGGAGCAGGAGGAGATGGTACTATACATGGAGACTTCTAGGTGGGAGTTACATGCTGTTTGAGATTTTAACACATTGCCGGATCACTCATTTGACAAAATTGCAGTAAATCACCTATCTGCTTTTTAGGCACGCTTAATTTATGTTACTCTGCAGTGGTCTGATCCTTGCTTCTGTCACATACTTTGTGATTATTGCTTTGTTTCTCACAGCAACATGGAACACTAAATACCTTCAAACAGCAATATGAATTAACAGTGTCTATCTGAACCTGAAGCCCTGGGGTTTTGTGGTGGTGTCCCAAAGGGCATTGTCTGGTCTCTCTATTAGTTTTTCCTAGTACAAACCAATGGTCTTTGATTTCAGTGTATATCTACTGCAGCATCTACTGTGGACTAAATATTGGGAAATTATGCATAAATTATTCGGTTCATACTGAGCTGTAGTAGCAAAAACTAAGTTAAATTAACCCGTATGAACAGTATTGCATGAAGGAGATAAAACRTTGCAGGATGCTACTGTAATCCTAATATGAGTATACCAAGAATCTCTGTGTGGAGCAAGTCTTGTGGTGATGGTCAAGCAATTTAATACTGAAAGCACATGATGTTGGTGCAAGGAATGGCAGGTGGCAATACACTTAGATTTATTTTATTTCATTGTGGGGTTTCTGCTTAAAAAACATTTCTCTATAATTAATTTTTGGCCAAACTACTTAGTTCTCAAAAATGTCAATATCTTTTTCTGGCAGATATTCCTCTACTCCCCTCTATCACRTCTCTGAGTCTTGGTGAAAATGAAGAAAAAAGTGGACCTTTTGTTGTGCACTGGCTAAACAACAAAGAACTTCATTTTACCTTATCTATGGAAGTGTTTTTGCAACAACTTAAAAGGAGTTTTGAACATCATTCTCCTGAGACTAATACTGAGGATTCTAATCAAATGGATGGCAAATCAGAAGAAGGTAAAAGTCATATAGGCATGTGTCATATAGAGAAATGGCTTCCAGTTTATAAAGTAATTTATAAAGTAATATTCCCCCAGGTGAAGCAAGAGATGGGCAATTTGACGTGCATGGATGCAGACAGATTACAGTAGCTTTTCAGTGCATTTTCTTCCTTTACGCTGAAAGTATCTAAGTGGCTTTAAAAAAATGTATCTAGAAACTCTGATTTCTCTTTTTACRGTTGTTCCAGAAATTTTGAGTTATATATGCTGAAAACTATTATTTAATTAGGCTCAACTGGAGACTTTTGCATGGAAGTGTTACTTTAATRTTAAGGAAGCAAGAGCAACCTTAGAATTAACTTTCATTTTTTAGATATTAATGTACGCCTAATTTAAGTAGCTTTATTCTGTAACATAAGACAGTTAATAATTTAAATATATGCATTCTGGRTATTATTATCTTTGTTCTGTCTATGCATTCAAAAATTTGTATAGAGTTGGGGAAAAGAAAAATGTTTCAAATTAAGGTGCAATATAAACTATTTTGGTTTGTTAGACATTGAGCTCCATTAGGGKATTTATGGTTATGAGTTTTGTTCTTTTAAATTAGCTCTCATRTGAGTGGCTTATAAAAGGCCTGAAATGAGCTCCAATGCCTGAGTAACACTTCCATTTATACTTCTGATTTTGAATATTATGTATGTGTGTATGTGTATCTCTGTATTCCAGAGGCTGATGAAAAAGGAGATGAACAGAAAGGAAACCAAGAAAAGAAGGAACTGGGTGATGAGAAAGCTGCTCCATATTCAAGCCTTCTTCCTTTATCCTCTGCTATTATTGATCATGAAATTGAAGTTCTGCTTTCTGAATGGAACAAAAATGCTGACATGCTCTTCAGTATACATCCTATGGATGGCTCCCTGCTGGTATGGCATGTGGACTGGCTAGATGAATACCAGCCTGGCATGTTTCGTCAGGTGCAGGTACTTTACACTTCCTGCATTATATGTTGCTATTCAGTGAGAAATACRATGGGAACCCTAATATTTATTCTTCCATTTTTAAAATTCCAGGTGTCATTTGTCTCAAGAATTCCAGTTGCATTTCCAACGGGTGATGCAAACTCTCTTTGCAGAAGTATAGTGATGTATGCTTGTACCAAAAATGTTGACTTAGCTATTCAACAAGGCAAACAAAAGCCTCCTGGCCTTACGCGATCTTCATCCATGCTTATCTCTTCTGGACACAGTAAATCAACCAACAGTTTAAAACTGAGTATCTTTACACCTAATGTTATGATGATTTCCAAACATGCAGATGGGTCACTGAACCAGTGGCTAGTGAGTTTTGCTGAAGAATCTGCTTTTTCAACTGTACTCAGTATTTCACATAAATCCCGATACTGTGGACACCGTTTTCATCTTAATGAATTGGCTTGCCACTCAGTATTACCACTGCTGCTTACAACCTCACATCACAATGCTCTAATTTCACCAGATGTTGAGAAAACACTACAGGCAAATGATTCTTTGAAGTCACAGGAGTCACCAGTAAGACCTCAGAATAGAGGCAATGCAAATGTGACATCCCAGGATCCGAACGCTGTTTACAGTGAACTTATTCTTTGGAGAGTAGATCCTGTTGGGCCTTTGTCCTTTTCTGGTGGAGTTTCTGAACTTGCTCGGATCAATTCTCTTCATGTTTCAGCTTTTTCTAATGTTGCATGGCTGCCCACACTTATACCCAGCTATTGCCTTGGTGAGTTTCATTTCCTGATTTGTGAAGTGTTGTAGAATAATACTCTTAAATAGATAATACTGATATACTTGAAGAAACTGGAAAAAATGTTAAGCAGGAGTCCTTTATTTCCCAAATTTTCAAGCTGCTAGTGGGAATTCTTTATTTCTGTAYGAAGCATTGTTGTGTTCTTCTCTCTTCTTTTATGTATTTGATATTTTAGGAGCTTGTGCAGTAAAGTTCTTAGATATTAGAGCATACTGCAGAGCATGCTGAAGATTTAAATGCTGAGGAAGATTTAGCTCTAGTTTGCAAAAGGGTTTCTTATATCCTTTCATATACTTTGATTTTGTTGCTATGCACAGCATTAAACTTTGTACTTCTTGCATGTGAATGGAAGTTAACRAGATTTTTTTTGCTATACTAAATTGTTTTCCATCATAACTTCAAAATTTCCTCTTGTCAAAAAAAAAAAAAGGAAGCAATGTGGTGCTTGAATATTTGTGCGCTTTCTACCTTACTGCTTTTCAGGTGCATACTGTAATTCTCCAAGTGCCTGCTTTGTGGCTAGTGATGGACAGCATTTAAGATTATATCAAGCTGTAATAGATGCTAAGAAACTTCTGTGTGAGCTCTCCAATCCAGAAATTTCTGTAAGTGAAAAACCATCTCAAATTTTAATGTGTTACAACTTCATTCAGTTGCACTAGGCTCAGAATTGTTGGTGGCTGACTAAGCTGGTTTCTGAGGAGTTCATAGATGATTCTGCTTGTGAAAACAGATTTGGGTAAAGGTTTTTTTAGCCATTCTGTATTTCATTTAATGTCAGACTCTGCATATTGAGACAGGCCAATGCTTGATTGTGATATCTGAGAAGTGCTTGGATTTCAAGGAATAGTAGCTATGTGGGTGCATTGCCATCCTTAGAAGTTAGGACAATAATGCATTTTTTGAGGCGAGGACAATAAATGGCTGCATGTGGGGCTTTCCAGATATTCTTGTCACTGTTCAGCCATCAAAACCAAATCTTCATAAAACAGAGAATGCTGTTCTTTCTGAATCACCACTAGTGTATATTTAATGATTTACTTAACATTGACATTGTGATGTTGTACCTGTCTAGCAGTCTGTGCCACAGAAATGCACAGGAGTTAACAAGACCACTCCCCTGATTCTTTCTAAACAGAAATATGTCGGTGAAGTTTTTAACATCATAAGTCAGCAATCTACAGCTCGCCCAGGATGTATCATTGAATTGGATGCCATCACAGAACTTGTAAGATCTTTTGCTATGCTCATTTTATGCGATAATTAGCTTTTTTAAAAGTGTTAATCATAACGGTGATATCTGTAGCTCTCCATCAGGTAAATTTGAGGTACTTAAGGAGTGTTTTTAACATACTTGTACTTGTTTCACAGTACCTGTAAATGAAAAGAATGTATAATGCATATGCATTTTCTTGAGATGTCTTCTGTTGATGTGTTTAACTTATCAAATTAAAAACACACATGTTAGAGAGCAATCTTGAGAATATAAGCCATGATGYTCACTTCTTGTATGTTTTTCTTTTCTTAGCATGGCCGGAAAACACAGTTATTCCATGTTTTTCAAGAAGACTTCATTTTGAATAACCAGGAGAAGGAAATGCCTTCAAAGAAGAACAATTTATCAGACTCTGGTAAAGAATTCTTTTTCATAGAACATTGATGACCGTGGTTTATTTTGCATTCCACAGAAGAAAACAAACTTGCTAAATGGCTTTTATATTAATGTCAAATACCTTAATTTGAGACCTTCAGAAGAATATTTAGTGTAATCAAGCTCAGGGGTGTTTCACTTTCTTTGGGTTGTGTGCAACCAAATTTTAGATCAAGTAGTTTAAATCACAAGATACCCATTGCATTAAGCAGTCCCGTACTTGAAGGGAAAAGGATTCTAAATGTGAAGCCTGTAGTAATAGGGTATGGCATAGACAAAAGTTTCCACCTTTCATGGTGGATGCTCATCCTTTACATCAGGTAAATTCTGCTTCTCAAGCCTTGCATGGTATAATAAATGGCAAGACCAAACAATTCTTCCTCACTGTAAAACTGTGAGTAGGGTGTGCATTTGTAGGTTCTTGGGACAGATCTGAATTGTTCTGGAATAAATTATTAGTTTTCCTTGGTAGAGTGGCTCTATTCTGTTATATAGCTGTCACATTGTTCTGTTCCAATGAAATAGAGTGCGGGGGGAAAAGGATCAGAGTAAATTTGTGATACCAGGTCATCTGCAGTACTAAATGGAGTCCTGAATGAAAGGAAGCGGAGTTGTGGAAAAGTCAAAGGGGCCTAGGAAATATTACCTGAACTGGATATACATAGTGATTATTTGGGAAATGGCTATTTCTGCCTGAGAGTGAGAGTTGGAGTAGTGGAGATAATCCAAGCCCTCCAAGTATAGTTCAAAAAACACGAAAGGGATGTTGAAAATTAGAAACAGAATAGAAAAAAAAAAAGGTGTTACTTTATTGCACAATTGTATATTTACATCTTGTACATGATATAGAGAAAGAATTTTAAAAGAAATATGGAAAGTATTTTAACTTAGACAACTGTGCATGCCATCCATGTAAGGAATTGGACTAAATGGACCCTTTGAAAAACTGTTAAATTAGGACTGTATCRCTTGTATGCATTCTAATTTGCAAGTATTTACTAGTATTTTAAAGCCTTCTTTCCTCTTTAATAATGCATGAAGCTAATTATGTTGTTTTCTAAAAGAACAAATTACATTTTTCTATGGTACCATAAGTACTGCAATATGAAAAGCACCGGACAAATAGAGCTTATTCCTGATAATAATTTATGTATACACACACCTGAAGGGTTTGAGAAATCCTGGAGGAAAGAGGATCACTAAATTAATTATTCCTTCTTGTTCCTAATGGGTTGACTTTGATAGGAAGAGAATACCTGGGTCCAGAAATGGGCGCTTGTTGATAACAAGATTTGTTTCCTGTTTGTGTAAAACTGCAGCAAGAAACATTATATCTCCAGAGTATGCTTTACATTCTGGGATTTAACTTTAAACATAGCAAGGTCAGGCAAATATGTTGCCATCTCTGAAAGACAGTATTGACAGTTCTTACATGAGTGTACCTGTAGTTGTGGTTTTTGGTTGTGATAGAAACTGAGAAAAGTAATGTAAAAGTTAAATATAGTCAGACCATTGCATTTCAGTATTAGTAGCTGAATGTGATTACTTGCTAGCCAGCAAAATTTAGCTCTACTTTCAGGTGAATACCTCTTAATATATTGCTGTTCTCAATCTCACCAGGAAACCAGCAGAATGGATTCTCTGAAAAATTCTACTTAATAGTGATAGAGTATACTCAAAATCGTTCATTGCTACACATGTGGCATTTGCATTTGAAGTCAGTTCCTGTCTCAATAGGTAAGCGCTTTTTCTTGTAGTTTTCTTTTTAAAAAGCCTTCATCTTTTCACTGAACAGTGAATATCTGCTGTTCAGTGTAATCTAAAATTGTATTTCATTCTTTTGAAAAGAATGTGCAGTTGATTACAAGATTTTTATCACAACCATTTTTTTCTTGATTACCTAATCTTCAGATTGGTGAAAGTCTTGAGTTCAGCCTGAGCCCAGAGACCGGATTTTGGTATTTTTTGTGCATTCTAAGGGAAGATATGCTTAACTGGTTTTAAGAGAATCTAACATTTAAGGTGTTTTGCTTTTTGGAAGTTTTTATTCTGCAATTTTTTGTATTGCATGTAAGTTTTAAATTAGACTATAGTCTGAAGCAACTRAGCATCAGTGATACCATTGCAATTGTTTAGAATTTGATGTTCTGAAATCTGCTGGTTTTCTTTTAAATTACCAGACTACCTCTAAAACAATAAAATTTAAAAGAAAGGCAATATGACTTCAATAGTTTTGTGTTAACATTTAAAGATTTTATGAAAACATAAATTTGATATTCCCCACTTACCAGAGAAATCTGTTATAATGCAYCTTTCTGTCAATTAAACTAAATTAGTATTTCTTACTGTTGCTTTCAAATGAGAGAAGGAAGTATTATAGTAATTAGTTTATAAGGTAATGAGAATAATAAAGATCCAAATTTTCTGATGTGCTCATGGAATGAGGACATTACTGATAAGGCTTTTCAACAAATCTGTTAGAAATTTTCATGTTCCATTTCCATCAATTTTATACTTCAACCATTGAGTTTTATTTTAAAAAGTGAGGAATTTTTCTTACATATTCTCTGAGAGCCTATATTTTAAGGAATAAAACAAAGCTTTTAATAAAATTTCTCTTGAGAGTAACATTCACGAATTTGTAAGCTAAGGCATGGAGGTCTTAATTTAATTCCCAAGTTGGAGGTGTTCTGAAAAGTATACTGAAAGCTTATTTTCAGTGCATATCCACATACATACCTCTTTGACTGCAATTTTGGTCTTTTTGGTTATACTTTGATTATTTTATAATTTCTCAACAATTCTAGAATCTCAAAAGTATTCAGAGATGTCCTAGCATTTCTCTTTGAATCTGAATGTGAGAATACATTTCATCAAAATGAAAGTAAAATTGTAAATCGTGTTTTGCTTATGTTTTTTGGACTACGAAGGTGAGTAAAATTACTTCTTACATTAAAAGRAATCACTGGCTTTTTAAAATTAAAAATGCAAATGTTTTTTCAGATGAAAATATAGGTTCAAATCCATCTGAAGAAGCAACACACACGGAAGAATTATATTCTTCACCAGATCCAGAGAAGATCCAATCACCTTTCACTCAAAAGTACCGAGCCTGTAAAGCAAACCTTCAGAGCACCAGCAGACTTACTCTGTCTTCCAAAATGGTGTATAGTCAAGAGCTGGATATGCCAGAAGGAGTAGAGATAATAAGTGTAAAGCCATCAGCAGGTTTGTGACCTTTTTAAAAAGACTAAAATAAGGAATCCTTGCCTTTCTGACTTTGATCTTAAAAATGGAAACAAAGTAAGTTTTGGATTTGTTGTTAGAATTAGGTATGTATTGGTGAATCCAAAAGGTTTGCTAAAACATGTTTCCTTGACTTAATATCTCAATCTTGAAACTAATACTAAAATAAAGCTCTTATTTAAGGTATAATATTTACTGTATTCCACAGTCTTGCAATAAATAGAATAACAGAAGCACCAATTTTGTATTGCAGTCATGACATTTTTTGTAGGCTCTGTAGTTAAATTTTAAGGTTATCATCAGTAGTCTTTCAAAATAGAGAGTTTGAAATTTTTCAATCGAGAAATGTTTGTTTGATTGGAGAGAACATATGTTAATATTCATGTTAAAATAATATAATTTGATTGCCCTCTAGAGCCCAAAAAGCAATCAAAGGGTCAAATGGTTTAATGGTATTTTTGTCATGTTGTCATAATGGCCTCTTTGTGAGGAAGCACTAATACTTATTTATATTAGGAGTAATAGAATGGCAGCTAAATAAAAATGTTGCTAGTTTTGCCTGCTAATATTTCCCCCAGTAAACGTATATTTTACTTCATTTTAGGACATCTTAGTTCTTCTTCCATATATCCTGTTTGTCGTGCACCTTATCTGCTGGCTACTTCCTGCTCTGATGGAAAAGTTCGATTTTGGAGATGCAGAGTTGTCACTGAATCATCAGTTTCTTCCATGCCAGAAAATAGCACACAGAGTGATATTAAGTATGTCTGGGAAGAATGGCCATTACTGATTGAGGATGGACTTCCTAATAGCAGTGCTATTAATGTTCCTGGGAGGCCAACTGAAGTCAGCTGTGCGCACACAAACAGATTAGCAATAGCATACAAGCAGGTAGCATCTAAAAACAGTCATCTTTCTCAAGATTTTGTGATGCACGTTAGTATTTTTGAATGTGAATCTACGGGGGGTTCTTCTTGGATTTTAGAGCAGACAATTAATTTAGGTGAGATAGGCACAATGTTAGACTCTGGTGTTAATGCTGATAACAATTTAGTGGCATGTAACCAGCAAGACACTTCTCTTTCTCATGGTGGGAATATTACACCGAACACTAAGCACTTGGTACACTTAGATTGGATGTCTAGGGAGGATGGTTCACATATTCTGACAGTGGGAATTGGATCAAAACTTTATATGTTTGGTCAGCTGTCTGGAAAAAGGCAAGAACAAAATGGTAATGAGATTGTAGCAGTCTCCCCTAGTGGAAGTCCTAARGCTGCAACCCTTTCTGGGTTTGTTTTGTTGCGTTGTGTTGACTTGGTTTCATCTGTAGAGGGGTCACCCCCTTTTCCTGTATCCTTGTCTTGGGTGCGTGATGGCATTCTTGTAGTTGGAATGGATTGCGAAATGCATGTTTATTCCCAGTGGCAGTCTCCTTCTAAGCAGGAACTGGTTAGTACAGATTCCTACAGTGGAAGTGTGCCATGCATAACTAGCTTAATKAAACAAAGCCAGTCAGCTGCCTCAGGTCTGCATCCACCAAAGAGAACCTTGACTAGATCTATGACCAGCCTTGCACAGAAGCTTAGTGGGAAAAGATCTGCCAGTGATCTCTCTATGGACATGGAAGATTCTGGTCTTTTTGAAGCAGCTCATACATTATCTCCAACTTTACCTCAGTACCATCCATATCAACTGCTGGAACTCATGGATCTTGGTAAAGTGCGCAGAGCAAAGGCCATTCTGTCCCATTTGGTGAAGTGCATTGCTGGAGAAGTTGTTGCTGTAAATGAGTCGGAGCCTAATCATGACAAGAGGCTCAGATCTCTGACGATCAGTGCTAGTGGAAGTACTGCAAGAGATCCCAAAACGTTCAGCAAAACAGAGACTACAGAYTACGTTGAAATAGACTCTGTTCCACCATTGCCTTTGTATGCTCTGCTTGCTGCGGATGATGATGTATCTTATTCCTGTTCAGAGAAATCCAACAATCAAAATACTCAAAATGAAAAGGATATGCCCAATGACAGTTATGAAAATCTCTTTCAAAATACTGTTATAAGTACAGATGACCTTGTCACATTTGAATCAGATGAAGACAATTCAAAACCAAAAGTCATTGATCTTTCTCAGTACAGCCCAACTTACTTTGGACCAGARCATGCTCAAGTTCTTTCTGGTCACTTGCTGCATTCAAGCTTGCCAGGTCTGACGAGGATRGAGCAAATGTCATTGATGGCCTTGGCAGATACAATTGCTACTACCAGTACTGACATTGGAGAAAGCAGAGACAGAAGTCAGGGTAAGTTGTGTCTTCCAAGTTAAGTGTGCTACGTTTACAACCTTTTCTGGGACTTCTTCCTATTTTGGAATATTTTCATTTCATACTATAACTGTGCCATCACAGTAATTACTCTTTAACTRGAGTTTCAAGACCTTATGTTCGCATAAAAATCAAATTTTCTTTTGCCACCTGGTAATGCCACTGAGAGTCCATTAAGTCCACATCGCATAATTATTTTTAATTTGCTTTTAAATTGACAGCTTTTTTTATGACAAGTAGTTGTACTATGTAGAGAAATTGAGAAATCATTTTGTTTGGGCATTTTATATATAACACTTTCTCTGCTTCTTGCATTGAGGAGAAGAAATAACTATAAAACTTTTTATATTTGAAATTTTCTTCTTTCTCTATTCTTGAAGGGAAGAATTATGAATTAAGCTATCATATTTTCAAATTTAAAGTGTGTGTAGGCCCAAAATTATATTTCTTCTAGTAGGAGACACAGTAGCGACTTTGTGTAATTTCTGTAAAGTGTGTGTGAAAATACTTCTTTCCAGGTGGAGAAACTCTTGATGAGTGTGGTTTAAAATTTTTATTGGCTGTTCGTCTTCACACATTTCTGACAACTGCGCTTCCTCCTGTGCATCGAGCTCAGCTGCTTCACCAAGGTAATAGATGTGTTTTCGTAGATGAGTTGAGTTTTAGTGATGTGGCCGTACATGTGGCTGATGTACTCTTGACATGTTTCTGCAGAATCAGTGAGGTAATTTGTTGGGTTTTTTTAAAGAAAATATTGTCCRATATGAGTAAATGCTAGAGCAGAAAATATTGTGATGTATTTTTGGTAGAGGTCTTGGAACTGAAGTGTGGAACTTTTAGCTGGGGAGGTGTGTTTTTCCATTTTCCCAAATTAAATGGCTTTCTAGTACCATGTTGTTCCAATAAACTTCTACAGGAATAATGCAGTTGAAAACAGTACATATTTACATAGAGGTTTGGAACATATTTGGAAAAAAGAAAAACTACAACTCAAACTTTTAATGCTTGCTGTTACTATACAATCAATGCTTACTGTAATTATATAATCATTTTTTTCAAATAGGTTTTTTTTTTTTTAAATTTGATTAGTTTCATCCTGATATTGTAGATTGTAGAATGAGATGGATTTTATTAATCATAATCAGATCTAAGGGACTGACTGTCATTGCTCCTTTAGCCATCATGATTGTTGGTGGCATTTTCAATCGCATGCCTTGCCACCCCTCAGCTGAATCAGAGGTTGGAATTTCCCAGGACTGCCACAGCAGAATATTGCAGAGTTAGCTTTCTGATRCAGTAATTTTAGTTGAGATATTTCTGCTTCTGGTGTGCTGAGGAGCTGGTGAGAGTAAGATGCCTCTGGGGCACATGAGGAAGTGCCTTTCTACGAAGAAGCATCTGACCCCTCACTAGAGTTGCAATTATCCATAGCTGGCTATGTTGCTGCTTAGTAATTACTGTCTTCCTTTTGATAATTTTTAATTTCAAGTTTTCTTTTGTATCTCTATCCTCAAATGTGTTTTGTACTCTGATTATCTGAAACTTGTGCATTTTCTAATCCAAGTCAGAATAGTGAACTGACCTTTCAAGACCTGGAAAAATTTAGTCAGTACATTGSTCTTACTATCCATATATTTGAGCTTCCTAGAGAACCCTGTTCTTTGCAAATGGAGTTTGTAGATGAAAAATTGTTTCTAGCTGTATGATTTTCTTTAATATTTGATAATGCAGTCCTAACAAATACTCTTAAATTTCGGTTGTGTTATCAGCGGTACACTAAAAAATCAAAACCAAACAGTTTGATCTTCTTCCCTGCTCTCTTTCCCATCTCTTTGTCCTCAGATTCTGGATTATTTTATTAATGAATGTTTTATGAATTTTCCTTTTTTTTTTAAATGTTTATTATGTAGGCTTATCTACTAGTCATTTTGCCTGGGCATTTCATTCTGTAGCGGAAGAAGAACTCCTGAGTATGCTCCCTGCAGTGCAGAAGGGAGATCCAACATGGTCAGAGCTCAGAGCTATGGGTGTAGGATGGTGGGTTCGAAATATCCACAGCCTGCGGAAATGCATAGAAAAGGTAAATGTAGCATTCTAAAAAAAAAAAAAAAAAAAAAAAAAAAAAAAAAAAAAAAAAAAAAAAAAAAAAAAAAAAAAAAAAAAAAAAAAAAATGGTAGCAAAATCTTTTCAAAAAGCTATTATCCAGTGTTTACCTTCTATTTATGTAGTTTTAAATTTTTATATATAAGTTTGTCTGAGTGTTTCATGCTATGTTTTTTTTGTTATGAACATGAACTTTTGTAATAAACTAATTTTTTTTTTTTAGTACTATAGATTTCAAATTGCAGTACATTTTTTGAAGTACATACCGCATCCTAAAGGTACTATTGTGCAATACTTATTGTGGATGCTCAAGAAACAGATGGACCATATAGTTGTTTTTCATACCAAAATTGAGAAACAAGTTATGGGAACTGGTTGTTCTTTGACACCTGTCAGGAAACAACTTAAATATTATATGTACACCTGTCTTGCAAATGAACTGTAATGATAAACAAACCTACTGTTTTGTTTTGGCCTCATGGGTTTTTTTTTGTTTGTTGGGTTTTTTATATTAAATACTGCAATCAACAGAGATGTGGCAATAAACATAACCTCATTATCACTTGTTTTAAGCTCTTGGAAAAGCCAAGTGTGTTGAGCTAGAAAATGACATGCACAAGATACTTTGACTACAAAGCACAAAGTGGTAAAATGCATGTCTCTACTTTTATTTTTAAATCTTCAGTAATTAATCATCACTTTATGAAACTTGACTTCCTTGCATTAAAAAAATTCCAGGTATTCTGGGACTGAATTTAGCCATCTGTTATATGGGTCTTGGACTATTCTTGCTGCCATTTTAACCCTGTTTCCTTTTCAACCTCCAAAAGTAACCTATAAATCATTTTTCTCCTGTTGTGACTGGTCCAAGCCTGTTTTTCAAGACTAAATCTGTCCTTTGATAACCAAAGCAACTAGTAAATTAATTTTGTTATGATTTTAGATACTGATTTCAGATACAGGGATTACCATTTGATCTGCAAAAAAWTTGATATTCTGGAACTGGAAGAGCATTATCTAAATGATATCTGAGTGGTTGTTGTATCTTTGCATATTCTTACATCAGACTGATAATGAGAGGAAGGATCCTGTATTAATGAGAGCTTCAGAGCACTATGGGGTATGGGGTGCCAGAAGCAAGAAGCAGCCCATTTAAGATTAATGTAAATTGTGCCTTTTTTTTGCTTTTGGTCTGTCTTCACAGGTGGCTAAAGCAGCTTTCCAGAGAAACAACGATCCACTTGACGCTGCCATTTTTTACCTGGCAATGAAAAAGAAGGCTGTTATCTGGGGATTATACAGGTATTCAAGCTCTTACATGGAATTTCACCCTATCTAGTCTAATTTTGGGGAAAAACGTTGAATGTAATGGTAATCCAAAAGAAGCACAAATATTCCAGTTAAAAGCTGAGATTTTATTTCTAAGCTAGTTATTACATTAAGTGAGTAGTTTACAATCTTCTTGTATTTACTGAAGGAATTTAGTTTCTGCTTCTGAAGGTAGATGCTGCAAGTTTTACTCTCAAATCTGCTGTAATTTCAATTACTGCTTAATTCTGATTTACTTTTGAAGATKAGCAGTGTAGCATCTTTTAGAAAAGTGTTTCCTATTATAAGATTTACCTTAAGTTCAGGGGACTGAATTAGTCTATCTGATGTTTCATAATACAGTGCTCACTGTTGCAAACTTTTTGAAAACTGGTTTGCATTGTCACTTACTATTAAGAACTCACCTTAAGAAAAATGAAATTTTCTGTATTTGTAGCAGGTTATTGAAAATACCATTATGTTTTGTATTTACCCAAATTTCTGCTATTTTCAAACTGTAGCTTCTCTACTCCCAGTGTGGTGAGAGACTCTGCATTTCCTAATGTTTACATATCCTGTGTAAAATTATACTGACACATGATGAAATGAAGAACTAGTTCATCTAATAAAACATGAAACATTTTTATCAATTATGTTTGATATGCAGGTCCCAAAAAGATACTAAAATGACACAGTTTTTTGGAAACAACTTTACTGAGGACAGATGGCGTAAAGCAGCATTAAAGAATGCTTTTTCTTTGCTTGGCAAACAGCGTTTTGAACATTCTGCAGCATTTTTCTTGTTGGCAGGACACTTAAAAGATGCAGTGGAGGTAATATTTTTTTTATGTTTAAGATTGTTACACTGTTCCAAATGTACAAATACACTAAATGTGATTTGTATGTTGCATTAGTATGACCCCTTTCAGTTTGTGCTCTTCTTTCCCATCCTAAGATAATGACAAATACAAACCCTTCATCTTTATATTTCGATTCCTTTTTAGTTGTCATATTAGTGATATTAAAATGTCACTGTTTCATTTCTCTGCTCAAATAATAAGAGGCCTACTTACCATTAGGTTCCTTTCAGATTGTCTACACAGTTCTGTATGAAGACAGCATTGTTTTGAGTGAGGGAGTTTCAGACCTGATGTTTTGGCAGTGATCTGGATTAGCCCTAGAATCCTGTACAAAAACCAAAGCAAACRAAAGTTATTTCCTAGGTCTGTTTGAATTGCAAAATTGTGAGGAATTCTTCTTTTTGATAATGAYGGATTTGTTCTCTAAAGCTTTGTAACTAAACCAGATTCAAAAGGTGGGAGGTAGCATGTGCACATTGGCAATGATCTGTTGAAGCTGGTGGATTTCAAAGATCGATTGTTATGACATATCTAAACAGAAGAAATGCAAATCAGATCTTGCATGTAATAGTTAGCTACACCTGTTCTGCATAAGTTCCTTCTTACTTTTTACGTATTTGATAGACCTACTTACTTTAATCTGAACAGATTTATGTCACTTCCTGCCCTGTAATAATTTCAAACAGAGAAGAAATTACAAAGTTTGGTCATTTGAATATAATTATTTTCAATTAGGTCTGCCTTGAAAAACTGCATGACATTCAATTGGCTCTTGTAATAGCAAGACTTTATGAATCAGAGTTTGAAGTATCTAGTACTTACAAGTCTGTACTGCAAAAGAGAGTTTTGGGAAGTGTGTCTACTGGAAAAGAGAGTGACCCTTTTCTACGAAGTATGGCATACTGGATTTTGGAAGATTATAGCAAGGCTCTTGACACTTTGATTAAACATTCTGTGCAAGACGAAGGAGGTAAGAGTATAATTATTTTGCTTGTTAGGTTGTTTATAGCTGTTTGTTCATTTAAGGCAAAGTTTCTTMAAGTGTCATCTGAAAAAGACCAGGTACCACACAGTTCCTCACCATTGTTAGTGCTACATTGTTAGTAAACATGGTTGACTGTACTGTATCCTGTATCCCTTGAATTACCCCTTAAGRCTTTCAGTATCAGGACAAGGGAATGACCCTGCAGTAATGCACCTGTTTTTCCAGCATAACTTTAAAGTTGAAGAGACAAATTCACTTCTTAAATTAATTTGACTTCATCACAGCCTGAGAAGAAATTTCTGATTGCCCAGTTACCTAGGATAATCTGGAAGACATGCTGTTTTGTAGCTTTTAGTCCTTGGTAAAAACMATTAACTAAAATAATTAACTGCCAACAGAAAAATTTGATACTTACCATTATACATGGAGGCTTGTGTGCTGGCTGAAACAGCACTTAAGTCTCCTGGAGCAATTCATTTCTATGTTCACTTGCTGGCTTTATAGACCTTCTAGGAATCARCTGTGTTATTTCCTAAAGGTCGTGTTTTCAGTGGTCATCTTCGACTGTAGTAAAACTGGCCTGACTATAAGGAAAAGAAATGGCAGCTGTTTTAATTCAAAAAGTCTTGCCTGCTGTCCCACTCAAGCTTCCCTTTTTAGCTGGTTTGGCAATGTCCACCCCTCCAAGTTATACAAATGATAAAGGTGCAGAGGAGGTTGAAAAGGAGGGTRCAGTGAAGTAAACAGTAAAATGAATGTATAAAGTAGACAATAGAATAGATATTATTAAGACCTAATAGCTTTCTGATTAACTTAGGACTTTTCAGAATCAGTTATTTCATACGGAGTGGTGTATTTTTCTCATACTGTAATATCTTTTCAGGTGAAGGAGATGGCTCATCAAATTGCAACCCTGCAGTGTTTAACTTCTATAACTACTTAAGAACACATCCTCTCTTGCTAAGACGTCATTTTCGGTCTTCTGATACATCTTCCACACACATTTGCCTAACAGTAGAAAACGGATTAGCTGACAAAATCAACCTAGGTGAAAGACGGCTGTTTTTCACCACTGCATATGCTCATCTAAAAGCTGGTTGTCCTATGTTGGCCTTAGAAGTGTTATCAAAGATGCCCAAAGTTGTCAAGAGGTCAAAATCACTCTCTAAATCCCCCAGTTTAATGGATACTAGTAAAGATTTCTCACCATATTCTCCAGTTAAAGAGTTTGAAACAAAAGATCAAGCTTCCAGCATTGATTGGTCACAGCCAATATTCAATGGTCTAGGTTCATCTTCAGATTGTTCATCAGGAAAACATTCAAGTTCCACTCTTTCCTTTGATTGGAGCCAGCCAAGTGCTCTATTCCAAGAGGAACAGTTGCATCTGCAGTTAGACAGTGATGAAAATGATGACAGTGAAGATTCTTCCCTGGTGATGAAAGAGCTAAAACCTCTGAAGAAAACTGAAAAATTAAATGAAACAAGCTCTAGCTACACAGAATCTTTTAGTGTAGTTGATGACAAAGATATTCTAAACCCATCAGAAGATATCATTTCAGCACAGTTGAAGTTTAGGGCGTGCCTGAAAATTCTTACTGTGGAACTTCGTACGCTGTCCACTGGCTATGAAGTAGATGGTGGGAAATTGCGGTATCAGCTTTACCAGTGGCTTGAAAGAGAGGTGGTAGCTCTTCAGAAGACCTGTGATTATGGTGTTGAAGCAGAAGAGATACAGTCAGGAATAAGAGGGATGCCAGAGGAAGCTACATTACATGAAAACACTGAAGAATTAGCTGACCAGCAAAAAACTATGCTACAGAAAGAAGACTTTCARAAAAGACGTCAGTGGCTTCTGAAGTACCAGTCTCTCCTAAGAATGTTCCTCAGTTACTGTATACTTCATGGCTCACATGGTGGAGGGTTGGCATCTGTCAGAATGGAATTAATTCTGCTATTGCAAGAATCTCAGCAGGTATGTGGGGGAACTTAGATTATGTTTTCTCTGCTTCAGGTTTGTAGATTTATTTGAAAGTGTTTTGTAATATTTTTAAGGTTTTCCTACTGTAGCATATGCCTGTTTTGTGATTAATCTAAATTGGTTTTTAACTGATTAGAAAACATTGGTTATGTTTTCTGTACATTGTGTAATTTTGATASTATTTTTTAGAATCCTTTTCTCTCTTTTGAAAATTCTTATGTTCCCTTAAAGAATATGCACTATTTCTTTGTTTGTGTGTTTCTTGTTTTTAGGAGCAGTCASTCCAGATACCTTCCAGCCCTCCACCAGAGCAAAGTTCCATACCTCTCCTATTTGCTTGCACAGCTAGTGCCAAAACAGTGGTGGCTAATCCATTGCTACATCTTGGCAATTTAACTCATGACATATTACATGCTATAATAAACCTTGATTCGCCACCTCATCCAGATTCTCAGAACAGCAAGGTATGTATTTTTTTTACATTTGTGTTGTTGTTGTCATTGTCTAGTTTTCTGAAGTCACAAATTCTTTTCTGACAGCATGAAGACTTTGTGCTTTGCCTATCTGTGACAAACAATAAAACTGTGAAACGTAAACATTTTCTGTAGTACTTGAGCTAAAAGAAATGTCCACTGATCATTACTTACTGTTAAGCTATTGAGCTTTAAGCTGAAGCAGGTTAACTTATATCAGAACTGGATATTTATCCAAAAGGACATTATTCTGGAAAACACGTTGTACTACATYATCGGTATCATTCATCTTTATGACAATATGATCATTATTTCTGTTATGTTAATGGCAAACTCTGCTTTCTTATACTTAAGTAAAATTGAATGTTGAAGTGAAAAAACTGATTGTTAGCAAAGTRTAGTAAACCCATACTTCTTTGTGAAACAGTGTATCTATTCATATAGTAATGACTGTAGATTTTAAAAACAGTTTCTGGAAGATTTCTCCTGTATTTAACCTTTGACTGGAAATAAGTATTTCCTGAAGTTCTGTATGTGTTAGGTCTGCTTTTACTAAGGATTTCTAGAGAACATTAACAAGATTGCTCCGTTCCTAGTTAGCCYTGTTTTGGAGGGAACAAACAAATGAATTATTAAACAAGTTTTGTTTTAAAGGAACCTTTTTGATCAACAGCTTCTGTAGCTTTTTACCTATGTCTTGTGATACATTAGGAAAAAAGTATCAGCTATGTTAAAAGTRTTAGTAGATCAGTGTGATACTGAATGAATTGCGTTTGCGTCCGAGAGCTGCGCRAGAATTGGTCAAAAACTAAACTGCATCATAGTTTTCATTCTGAAATAAGGTCTTTATATTCTGAGTCAGCATACTGTTACTGTTTTAGGATGTAATTACTTAGAACAGTTGTACACAGGCTTAATATGTTGCTGTTTATTAACTGAAAACATTTCAAATAGAGCTGATGTGTGATTGTGGTGGTGTGTTGAGTGGGTTTTCCTGAATCCTTTTCATTGCAAAGAGAACTGATTTATCTGAYACAAAGCCACCTTTTTTTTAAGAATTTATAAATTCATGAGTACTCATACCTTCCATGTTCAATGCTTATTTTACTGTTACAAATCTGTATGTAGACTGAAAGGCTGTGATACCAACCACAGCCCACTTTGGGTGAAAAACATGCTATTATACTTTGTCTTACAGATATATGTAATGCATACCTTAGCAGCATCGCTCTCTGCTTGCATCTACCAATGCCTCTGTGATGGCCACAGCTACAGGTAAAGTCTGTGAAATGTAGTTTTTAGAAAACTGTCTCATTACAGTGATGATAATAGGGCACCAGAAGGCAGTGCTCACACCTGCCTACATCCAGAAAGGGCTATCACTTGAACAGTGGTAAAAATAATTTTWAAAATAAATAYAATTTCCCACTTTTCTGTTTCACAGCTCATTTCAAGCAAATCAGTTCACTGGGACAGTGTATCAGACAGTCCTGTTAACTCAGCGTCATTCTTTAAGAGCAACAAGCTTAGAAGAAACAGTGACTCCCAACACATCMCCTGCTCAGTGGCCAGGTATCTGGAGTTGATTTGTTTCTTTCCTCTGTAGGAAAACTGAGTTATCTGGATCCACTGTAAGAGCATGTAGCTATGCTGTGAACTTTCTAGTAGTATTTGTAGAAGCTGTGTGGTAAAATTGAGTTCTTTGATTAAAATGTGGGTTTTTTTCAGAACCTCTAACTTAGTGCTTCTGATTATTCACTAAGTCAAGTTGGTTTATATTGCTTTCTGTTACTAAAAAATATAACTAGTTAAAATTTTAACTTTCACTAATGCTGGATCTAGTAAAGAGCACCTAAACAGGAAGTAAGGTAAAGTCACGTCCTGTGCTCTATTTGCTCCTCCTGGAGCACCAGTATTTTGCTTCCTTACTCCTCTGAAGGACTGGGAAAGCTGTCCTAGTTTGTGCTCCAATTTAGAATTATTTTACCTTATGGACAACTTTTGAACTAACTTGAAACTATTAAATATGAGACATTTTAAATGAATTATTTTTTCTATAGCGCTAAAACTCATGTCAGATTTCAGGTACTACTTAAAGTATACTGAGATCTATCCTGGTGAAGCACGCAGTAGGARCCACATTAGAGGCAGTGTTAGCAATGTAATATATCTACGTATGAGCTTCTGTTTACAGCACTAACTTTAATGTAGGCGTAACCAAGAAATATGCTTATTGTGAGATTGGTTTTTTAAATGAGAAAATTTGCCTTTAAATCTTTTTGGAGAGTCTTAAGCAGTCTTTGCGTGATGTTGTGCCATTTTTAATTTTCTGCCAAACATTGTCCCTGAATCTACAGATTTTGGAGAGAAACTTGTTTGTCATCTGTTTTCTTTTCATTTAATTAGTCACACAGTTAAATTTCTGATTAATGGGGCAAGGAATTGTTTGCAGWTGTTCTTGTGAGTAACATCTCCTTAAGCTGATTTCTCTATTTTTTGATAGATTCACAYGCTGTATGTGCAAGTTTGAGAGCATGACGAAAAGCAGAATTCTTTGGCCACCACTATGTGCATTTTCACTTGTGTGCACAGTGTCACAGTTGAAGCCACCTGTGAGACTACAACCTTTCTGTGAACATAAAACCACTAGAAAATGCTTAGTACTTGGGTGAAAGAACACTTGCCAGACAAAGTGTAGTGCAAGTTGATGCCCATGATTTTTGACTGGTTTTACCTCTGTAAAGGGAGATAATAGATTTTAAACTTACAGGCTTATACTGTACTTCCAATAATTTAAAAAAGTGTTGCACATTTCTTTAAACTTTAGTCCAAACCATGAAGCTGAACAACTAATGAATTGTTAAAAACGAAGAGCACATYTCTTTCTCCTGGAGTTTCCAATTTTGTCTAGAACTTGGAATTTTTCTACACTGGAAACTATAAATAACATAGGTTGCCAGACCAAATACCCCATCATAATCTGAAATATGTTCATGCACTCATATATATGCTTTCTTAAAGAATGTATTTATTTTATACGAACAGGAATGACGGCTCTAATACGTCTCTTGAATTCTGCTGGTGAGGAGGCCCAGCCAGGTCTCACGGTTCTACTTTGTGAAATTCTAACTGCAGTCTATCTCAGTCTGTTCATCCATGGCCTTGCAACACATTCTAGCAATGAGTTGTATAGAATTATGGCTCATCCACTTAACAACAAAATGTGGTCTGCTATCTTTGGAGGAGGTGCTCATACACCCAGCAGAGGACAGCAGCAATTAAAGACAAAAACTGGTAAGTTCTCTTGTTATACCCATATTTGTCTTCTGAGTTTTTTAAGAAAATTATGTGACTGCTGGAAGCTTAATTATTTTAAGTTGTTAATGTTCAGTAAGAAAAAACAAGGATCTGAAATTAATGGTGTAGATACTGTGTAGAAGAGAATAGTGAAGCAGAGGGGAACGCTATTGAAATGAGGTTTCCAAGTAGCACAGCTGTTGATGTGAGGTAGTTAAGATGATCTTAGAGTTTTCTGGTACTACAGCCTAGATTTTATGTTTATTTTAAAGCTTTCCAGTTCTCTCATAACTGGAATATATTCCCATTTTACAAATACAGTATGTTTTCTCTCTTTGACAGGTAGGCACTTCCCAATGCCTAGCCCACATCAGGTAGTAGTGTTCTCCATGGAATGCGTGGGGTTTTCCAAATCCCTTACTTCCTTCAGTACTCATAGTCCTACCAAATCTTCAGGCAAGATACTAGATTTAGTACTAGGCCTCTACATGCAGTTTGCTATGTGTGGGGTTTTTTTTTGCATATGCAGAAAGACGGAAAAACTTCTGTTTGCAAGCCATGACATCAAAATTTAAAGTAAAATTTTGTAATTAAAATAGCACATTAATGGGCCTTTTTTAAAAACCAAATCATCAGTGCTGTTGTATTCTTACTACTCTTCATTTCAAATCAATATTGAATATAAAATTATTTTGACCATGGTTTGAAAAGATCAGAAGTGTTTCATATCTTTGTTGGGAAGCTGCTTGTTTTGCTTTTTGACTGTAAGCATTTTTATGCATGTGTATTTCTAAGTGTTCATTCCAGACATTACCAATGAAAGGTGTCTTGTTGATACTCAAATTYAATATTCTAAGAATCCTTTAGGAAGCAAACAACCTTGAAGTTTTAAATTCAGGTAATAATAAATTATTCTCAGGTCCAGAACAAATTCCTATAATACTTTTATTTTTGGTACAGTTGTGTGCTTTCTAATTTAGCTGGACTTCTCTAAAACCAAGAACAAAAACGCCACAATTATGTAAATTTTTTGAAGGAAGATTTTAAAATTAAATTTACTTGCACTGAGATGACTTTCTAAATAACATCTGTATAAAGAGAGATAAAGCATAACTTCATCTATTTTTTAAAAACCCTTTTATTATTGAAATTAGATGTATGTTACATATCAAAATGTCTTACCATGCTTTTAAGGAAATGCAAATGCGGTCATTTAAATATCTTCATCAGACTTCTAGAAAAGTGTTTCAGAGTAGAGATCTTTAATCAAAAGCAAGCTCTTGTTCTAGATCTGATCAGCTTTCTCTTGTATTGAATAAATATTTCTTTTTATCACTTTGGTAAGGTAAATATGTTTGCTGTTACAGAATTGTCAGAAGCCATATCTGGCTTTTGATGGCAGTTCTGCTAACTAGGTGTTGCTAACTATATTCTAAGCCTTGTTGATGATGCTGCTACCACTGGTTTAAAATTAAAAGTATTTTTACTAAGAAGTGTATTCTGAATATAGTTTTTCTTAAAAAGGAATGCTGGCTGGCTGATCGGGTTTAATAAAACTTGCTGGGAAAATCCAGAAGCTCCAACTGAAACTTGAAGGGAGTAAGAAGCATTTTAAAATACTAATTTTTAGGGATAATCAGTGAGAAAGGGGCCTAGAGAGGTTTTGGAGTTTCTGTCTTTGGAGTTACTAAAAAGCTTGAACAAACTAGGCCATCAATTAAGTCAACTGTGTGYTGAGTGTGGGGTTGGACCAGGTGTCTTTCAAATTATACAGTTCTGGCATTCAGTGAGTTATTATTTGTTTTTATATGTGTTTATGTAAAGCAAATTTGGGGGGAAAGTATTTGTCCAAAATTCTTTCACATTAAAAAAAATGTGGAGGAAGAAAGAAAAAAGCCCAGACTTCCAGTGAAGCAGAGGATGAGGATTAAARTTGGCTATATTTTTGTGCCTTTATTGTTTCTGACACCCAGAAAAAGCTACTGAGAAATAACTGGAATGCTTGTTCCAGTCAACTATGCCCTGTTCTTCCATAATATTATTATATATTCTTTATCTATAGCTTACTATTTTGCTACACATAACTCGGCTCTTTTGTGTTTACTTGTAGATTTTTTGTGAAATATTTCCACTCGCAAATGGAGATTAAAAGCTAAAAATTCTTAACACTAGTAATTCTAATAATATAAGACTGTGCATGTGTTCTCCTCCTTGCCTCCCCTCCAATCCTTTAGTATATATCTGAATGTGGATGTCGATCTCCAAGTTTGAAACTTATTTTAAGGGATCATAACATATGTATGTGATGGCCAATAAAGTTATCTTATGTCTCCTTCTGCTCTTTGCTTTCATGGACTTGAGCATGTAGTAGCTRTGAATATAAAATTTCACTTAAATAAATATGATCTTTCTCTTAGAGTCAAACTGTAAAAGAGGAACCAAAATCCAGGATCTGGTAATCTTATAAATTTCTGAACTGTATTAGGAATTAATTTTTATGAAAAACTTGTTTTTGCCTCTGTCATGTAAAGATCAGACTAAGCATAGCAGTCTGAATGCGTTTTAGAGCACTATACTCTTCAGCCATGTTTCTTGTTTTTGCAGTTGCAGCAAGTGATTTTGGCAAGCAGGACTAGCACATGATGTTTTGTTTTACAAGAGGCAATTATCATCTGAAAAAGAACTTTATTGAATATAGTAGATTTTTTCAGAATAATTTTTATCATATTTCTCTTGAAAACTACCATAGAAAACCCTTTTATAATTTAAGTCTATATCGAGATGGTAAATTCTCTGTCATACAGAAGGTTCTTAATGAAGAATTTGGTCTTTGGTTTAACAGTTAGAAATCCATAGTTTCATTTAATATATTCAGCTTTCCATGCTACAAGAGCAAATGGAGGCAAGTTGAAAAGGATTTGCCTTTTAGCTCTCACTGGGAAGGTAGAAGGAAGGTAACGGGAGTTTTGATTATCTTTGCATGTCTTAGAAACTGGCAGAAATTGAAGGATTTTCCTTGTCTGAAATAGTCTAATATTCTTCAGAAATAATGTAATTTTTACATTTTTCTTATAAGTAAAATGGCAGCAAAAAGAAATACTTCAAAAAAAAAAAAAACATGTAAAAGAGTTTTAATTAGAAATATGTGAGCAATTTGAAAGTGCATGTAATTGGTAATTTGAAATCCCAAATGACAGAGTCAGAACTTTAATGAATTTTTTAATGTATYTGATTTTTTCAGAATGTTTAAAAATAAATCTGTATTAATAGTGTGTATTTCAAACCGCTTAGATGGTTGTACTTTCATTTGCCTGAAATACCAAATTTTTTCCAATGGCTAGCCTGCAGTATTTTTTTAAAATAAAAGGAATGATCCAACAGAAACGAATTAAGTACTTTCTTAAAGTAAAACACCTGCTTTTTTAATTCTGCTTTGAAAAACAACCTGCAGACATATTCTTGCTCATTATTGTGTCGTGCAACACTTGCTCCTTATTTCATGGCTAATTAATTTCTTTTTTTAAGCAGTTGCTAAAAATTAGCTAAGAATTCATAGTGATGCATGTGCATGCTTTTTTCTTACCTGATAAGCTTTAAATAATGAAATGAAAATGCATTGTACTGCAGTTACTCTGACTTTTAGAGCAGGTAAGTGGATTTCAAATACTATCCCTAACAAAAAATAAGTATTTTGCAGTATATACTGCAACACATAGTGTTATGATATCCCTGTTTCAAGATGAAAGATATCTTCATCTTTATTAAATTTGACATATACATTATTTTGTAGGTGTCATGGTTTAACCTCAGCCAGCAGCCAAGCCCCAGGCAGCTGCTCACTCATTCCTCCACCAGCAGTACCAGGTAGAAAATGGGAAGGGTAAAAGAGAAAGCTCGTGGGTTGAGATAAAGGCAGTTTAATAGCAAAAGCAATAGCTGTGCATGCAGACAAAGCAAAACTAGGAATTAATTCAGTGCTTCCTATGGCAGGCATGTGTTCAGCCATCTCCAGGAGAGCAGAGCCCCATCAGACGTGACAGTGACTTGGGAAGACACAAACGCTATCACTCCAAATGTCTTCCCTCTTCCTCCTTCTTTCCCCCACTTTATCTACTGACTGTTATGTCACATGGTCTGGAATATCCCTTTGGCCAGCTGATGTCACCTGTCCAGCTGTGTCTCCTCCCAACCTCCTGTGCACCCCCAACTCCCTCATCAGCATGGAAGTACAAAAAGCAGAAAAGGCCTTGGCTCTGTGTGAGCTCTGCTCAGCAATAACAAAAACATCTCTGTACTGTCAACTCTCTGTTCAGCACAAATCCAAAACACAGCCCCGCAACAGCCACTTGTGAAGCGAACTAGCTCTACCCCACCCAAAAGCAGCACAGTAGTTCAGCTGCTAGTGATGATAATGTTCATGCGTGGTCAAAAATATTTCTGAATCTTGGAATAACATGTTTATTCCTGGTCCAAAAATGTGAAAAAGAAATAGTGACAGAATTCCATTAACTAGTGTGAGTAGAGAGAATTCGTCCATTTGAAAAAAACAGATAAAAATTGTGAGGTATAAAAACCCTGGAAGGGTTTTTTATAAAACCATGTATTTAAATCTTACATATCTTAGAGTGACAAACCTTTACAGTTGGCTCAGTTTGTGTTGTGAGCAAATAAGCCTTACATGTGGAAATAACTTCATAAATTTACCACTGTTTTTAGTTCAGAGTGTTAGACCTTCTGTTTTCAAATAATTGAAATACCCATAAGAGTTTTGAAGGGCATGCATCTGTGAAGACTCAGAAAGTCTCGTGTGGATAAAACATTAAAAAAAATAAGGTTGTAGGAAATACTTCTTTGTGGTAGTTCACTCCAGGAATGCATAGGTATGTTGTCTCTTTTTTTTGCCATCTGCAGCATTATTAACAGGAGAAAGTAATTTTGGAAGCTTCAATGGTAGTTAGTTTTGTGGGCCACTTGGTAGCAGAAGGGAATAGGGAAGTTAAAACAATAAAAAACCCATTTGCATTTGTGTCGTTTGTGTTAGCTCAGCCTTGCAACCGGTCTGGTCCAATATGCTGATGCTTGAACTCAGTGCTAGGGGTATCTGTTCCTCTGGGGAGCTCTGGAAGCCTACAAAAATTGTTCTCTTGGCTGCTACTTTTTACTGCTGTTAGGTTGTCAGACAACCCATACGCTCTGCTTAGGAAAACTGACACAGTTTAAGTAGGTGTTGGAAGTTTTGTGGACTCTGAAAGAGAGTTCAAAAAATCAATTTCCTTTTTGTCTTCATATTTTGGCTTTTTTTTACCTTACTCTTGAACCTACTCTTTTGTTTCACTGAAGAAACTGATCTTGGTACATTACATGTATCTGTTCGAAAATAAAATGAAAAATCTAAAAAAAAAACCCCAACCAAACAACAACAAACCCTCAAACTTTTACAACAACCCTCATCTTTTACAATCAAGTAGGAAATTGATTCAAGTTCATTTTTTCTGCTATGAAAGATGGCCAACATGTTGAATCAAATCCCTAAATAGAATTTTTTTTCTCCCTTGCCCCTTTCTCTTCAGATGTATTCTGGAGAGTCAAAACACTTCACTGCTCAGGGACAGTGACAATCAGTATCATTCCTCCTCTACTAATAGAAAAGCTGTAGTTGAATATGATTCACCTAACAAGATGCAGATTTATTTCAGGGTAGAGATGTGTTATTTCTGAAATAACAGATGTGAGCTGTGTTATTTCTTAAAGCTTGGATAAGCTATTTCCTTGACTGCTGTAATAATCAGGAATGTAAGTCAAATCTTCCATTGACGGTCTGAAAAAAAGTCAGTGTTGGGGCAAGTGAGGGGACTTCTCTATTCCTAGGTTTTAGGATGTTACTACAAATAATTAGTCCTTCCCTGCTTAATAAGGTATACATTCGATTGTGTTCGTTAAAATGTGGATTTTTATATTTGCTGGAGAAATATATTGTCAGGACATACAGTTTTAGCAGAATGTACCATTTATAAAAAGTACAGATCACCACTAGAAGGAGACATGGAGTAGGAATGGTAGGTTTATATATTTGCAATATATATTACCAAAAACAAGACACCTGGCTTGTATTAAAAGCAAGCATAATCAGTTTTCAGTTTTAGTTTTACAAGATTGTTACTTGAATAATAATACTTGTCACCTTTGTAAGAAGAGAGCTAATGCAGTTATGGGTATGTTACCTATGCAGGGAGTTTTCACGTTCTGGAGTTCTAGTTACTTACTAGTTTTATGTACTTGAGGATAACATTCTCTGTGTGTAATTGTTACAGAAATATCAAGGTAAAATTTTGAAAACTTGTGATGATAATTTCTTTACTTTTTATTAGGAATCCCTTTATTAAAAGCTATAGGAGGCAGAGCAGATGGTTTAAAACAACATACTGCATTTTTTTTCTCCCATAGATGATGGAGAGAAACAGCAAAAACATTACAGACTTGCATCAACAACATCTCCAAAAGAGAGTTCTCAGTTGCCTGCATTGCCATTGGTAGACCAACACTCTCCATTTTACAAAGAAAGATTTATCCCTCCTGAGCTTAGCATCTGGGATTATTTCATTGCAAAGGTAATTTTTTGCTATTTTGACAATTATGTGTCTTCTGTCACTTCTGGATTGGTAGCTTTTCTCTTCTTAGTCATTCTTCTAGATATTGATGTGATATAATCTTTGTATTTTTATTGCTCATGTTTAGCTTTCCCTAAAATGCTGATTGTACTTGATTTTTAAGTGTCTTTCTTAAAAACTTTTGTTACACAATGGTTATGATAATAACTCAGATAATGCTTATGAACAAATGGTATTGGTTTTTATCATTTCAGAGTACAAATGGGTAGATTATTACAGGTCAGCTATTTAGGAGAACAATGAACTGTACAAAGCATTTTATCAGCTCTTTTAATTGGGTGAAATGCATGCGCATACTTACTGGAAGTTACGTTGCCTTGTTAGGTCTGTTGTGGCAGATCTTTGCAGAAATTTACATAATTGTGTGGAGTTGTATGCACATTATTATATCAAATATTATCTACATAAGCAAAATTAWTTATGTAAGCCTACTTTAGGAGCAAGGACAAAAAGGAAATTGCAAATACTGAATAGCACAGTGAGGCACTGATAGTGGGTTGATCATAAATATTGAACGCTGTAGGGAGAGGACAGGATCTCTCTGAGCTCTTGGAAGAACTGAAGAAAATACACCCTGGTGGTTTTGGCTTCTCTCTAAAAAAACATGTATCCCTTATCTAGTTTGATGTATCTGGCATGAGAATAAAATAAGAACTGGACAATGATTACTCTTTGCATATTCAGTATTAGAATTTTCAGTAGTGTAAAAATTAGTTAAGCATGTAGTGCTTATGGACAAGTACCCTTTTTATGCAGTACAAACTCCAGATCTTACTAAATTGAGTAAGATATGCTATTTTTATAAAAAGCATTAAGCATTATGATTCAGTTTTTTAAAAGGTTATTTAAAATGAGATGTTGGATGGAAGATACTTACGGAATATTTTTTAAATTTTTAGCCATTTCTTCCATCGCAAAGTAGAGTGGAATATGATTCAGAAGAGAGTCAGGAAAGTGATGAAGATGAAGACATTGATGGGGATATGTTTGCATCAAATTCACATAATCAAGAGCATTCTAATTCAAATTCTTACAGGTAAATAACTCTTCAGAATACAAGGTAGTCTGCAATGTCTGGACTTGCATTTCTGTTATTTTTGAGATAATATACCATTTGTTTGATATTTCATGGCAGTGCATTATCTAGTAGTTAATTTTTCAGAGTAACTGTTTTATTCATATTATTAGTATGGGGTATAGTGACTTTGGAATTTGAAGTACCTATAATGTTCAAAAGTATGGTTTGTAGTTTTCAGTAGTTTATAATGAGAAACTCTAAATCCTAATATAGAATAAGTAAGAAAAAAATTACTTTCCTATTAGTAAATGACTTACTAGTGCTTTCTTGTTAGTTGGTCACTGATGAGATTGGCAATGGTTCAGCTGGTACTTCACAATTTGAAGATTTTCTACCCTTTGGCTGGACATGATCTTTCAGGTAATAAGCAGCAGAGTTGTCTCTTCATACCTAATTAAGACATTTAAAATCCGTAATTTGTTGAATAATATGCGTAAATTGTAGCTTTTTTTTTAATTCAAAAGTTCTTAGTTTTTCAGTGATGTGGGAATAAATGTTCTGATACTGCTTAGCATACAGGTATGTTTATGAAATAACATTGTGGGTGGATAAGATGAATGGGTGAGAAAGAATGCACAGTAGTTAGCAGACGTCACTGTGTTCTTATGTTTTCTTTGCTTATTAGTCAGGTAAGAACATTTGCAGTATTTATTTCCTGGTGGAAACAGTGTAATGTTTGTAATTAAAGTAACATCATTCCTACTCCTTGTTTCATGGAATCATGGAATGGTTTGGGTTTGGAAGGGAACTTTAAAGATCACCTAGGTCCAGCCCTACATCGTGGGCAGGGACATCTTTCATTAGATGGTGTTGCTCAAGCCTTACCTGACATGACTGTCCACATATAGGGCATCCACAACTTCTCTGGCAACCAGTTCCAGTGTCTCACAACCCTCGTCATAAAAAATAGCTTCCTTTTTTCCAATCTAAATCTACCTGCGTGGTGTGAAATCATTACTCCTTGCCCTATCACTGCAGGTCTTGGTAAAAAGTCTGTGTCTTTCCTCTAAGTGCCCTTTAAATATTGAAAGGCTGCTATATTGTGTCCCTGGAGTCTTCTCCAGTCCAGGCTGAACAACCCCRACACTCTCATCCTGTGTGCATAGGAGAGGTGTTTCAACTGTCTGACCTGTATTTGTGGCCCTTCTTTCAATCCCCTCCACAGGTCTTTGTCATTCCTATCCTGGGGGGCCCCATAGCTTGATATGCATCCCCAGATGGAGATGAACAAATTAGAGGTGCCAAATTCCCTCCTTCACCCTACAGGCCACCCTTCTTTTGATGCAGCCCAGGATTCAGTGGGCCTTCTGGGCTGCGAGCTAGGTCATGCCCAGTTTTTCATCCAGTGGTATCCCTAAGTCTTCTTCCCAGGGCTAATCTCCATCTATCCATCACTCRGTTTTCACTGGTTGCTCTGATGGAGGTGCACTAGTTCTTGTTGAAACTTGTGACAGTCACATAGGGTCACATGGGCCCAGGCCTGCCAAGGTCCCTGTTGGTGGCATCCCTTCCCTCCAGTGCATCAACTGCACCTCTCATCTTGGTGTTCTCTGCCAGGTGGCTACAGGTGCCCTCACTGCCACTGTCAGTGTCATTACCAGAGCTGTGGAACAGTACCAATCCCAGAATGTATTCCTGATACTGTTCCTGCCACTCGTTACTCACCTCCATTTGGGCATCAAACCATTGAGTGTAACTCTTGAGTTGAGGTCATTCAGTACCTTGGCTGTCAAATAGTGCATCCTTTTCACTCCACTTGAGAGGTAAAGATGTTGTGTGGCCTTACAAAAGTTAAAAGTAGAGGACATTGGTTGCTCTTCCCTGTGCTGTTAGTCTACAACAAAATGCCACCAGATTAGCTGGGCACAATACGCCCATTATGAAGGTGTGTCAGCTTTCTCTTATCACCTGCCTGTCATTCATATGCCTTGACAGCTTCAAGGAGGATCTGTTTCATGATGATCTGTTCCATGATATAATTCCTGTTAGCATTGGAGAAATCTGTTCCTTTTTTAGCAATAATAGCACAAAACAGTTCATCTTTTTATACCTGTGAATATCAAGTTGAGGTTTGACTAAAGCTTACTTGTGGAGATACTCAAAATAAGCTTCAGTGTTCATCTGCTGGAGTTGTCTTTGTTAAGGTTATAATGAAAAGGAGAGGGTTTTTATTATTGTTTACTTGTTTTTCTAGAGCTTCCAGTTAGCTCCCCGATATGCCATGCAGTTTTGAAAACGTTACAGCGCTGGGAGCAAGTTCTTCTCAGACGTCTTGAGCTATATGGAGGTCCACCTCAGCAGTTTATTTCAGTTCATGCTTCTGAAGATGCCCTTGCTGCTGGTCCTGCACTGCTGCGCCACAAAACTTTACTTGAGCCTACAAACACTCCTTTCAGGTGAGTCTTTTACTTAAGCATAATAAATGGATTTTGAGTGTCACTGGAAAAAGTGTGCTTGACAATAAAACAAAGAATAAAAAATTTGCCTTGAGAGATAAATATGGATCAGTGACACTGAATTAAATAATTGACCCACTTTTAAAGATAATTAAATTACCTTACATTCTTAGCAATATTGYTACCTAAATTCAGAGGAGAAATACCTATTATATATAGGATTTGCATAGTTGGGACTTAACATAATTGCATATTCAGCCAGAAAAGTATGCTCAGTCTCTTAAAGTGTCATTTTTAAAATAGATTTCTGCCTTCTTAATTTTGTTATCACTTATGGATTTCAGAATCAACAGAAAGCCTGTCTTTTTAAAATATTTCATCATGGTCACACTTTCAGTAACTTGAATTGATTAAAAGGGACCAGCTTRATAGGTATCTGTATCTGACATTACTTTTAAATTACTATTTAAAGCAGTTCAGAGTTTGTATTTTGGCTTGTTGTAGGCAGCTGTGTTGGCATTTATAATTTTTGCTTGAGTGTAGCATTTCTGGTACACTCATAATGAATTCTGATCTGATTCTACAGTCCTTCCAATTTTGTTACTGAAAAATCATGGATGTTTCAGAGAAGTTACACAGCTGATGATGTGTTCCTAGCAGGAAGTACTAGTCATTCATAGTCCGTGTGAAAGGATCACTCATTAGAACTAAACTGAATTGATTCATGTCGTAAAGGATTACTGGTCTAATAAATAATCTGCATTCTATTCCTACCATTGTGTAATCTCTTAATTGGGGCCATTGAGAAAAATTGAGATTTTTCTCACTTATCCCAAGATAGAAGAAGAAGATGCTACGCATTCTTTTCCTTCTTCCTTTTACACCTCCTATGTCGTGGGTTTAACACCTTGGAATTTCGTTTCCCGGCCAATGCACCAGAAATGTCRTGGTTTGAACTGTGCCCACGACGTTCCCTCCTTCCCCCCCCCACCGAAGAGGGAGAAGGGAGAGCGAAAACCCAATTAACACGAAAATTTATGGCTTTGAGATAAACATAATTGGAAGAAAGATACCTATGTACTCCACAAAGAGTCAGACAGGCTGCATAACTTAAGTTGCAAGATAGATTTATTACTACACACTACTAAGAATGGCACTGGGTGAAAAAACAAAGATAGGGATATTTACAAAGAGAAGAAAAATAAAATGGACATTTTAAGACACCTGTTACACTTTCCCAGGGACCCATCTCTTCTTCCAAGTCCCCCCATCTCCACCCCTCCCATGTTGTCCCTCACACACAGAGGGGCAGGAGAATGAAAGTCTAACACAGATCAAAACACTCAGCTGTTGTCCAAACATTGTAGGATACAACATTCTTACAGCTCCAGCTGTGGGATGTGTCCTTTCCTGAGAAACAGTCAGTGTAAAACTGCTAATAGCAGAAAGGAACTTCTTTACCTCGCAGGAGAAAAGAAAAGAAATGTCCTTCAAAAGCCCATGTTGTTTTTTCAGCGACGTGAGTCCGATTATCACAAACCTCCTGGCAGAACACAAAACACAGCTTCTTCTACATCAAAACTTCGTGGGGGGAGCAAACCTCTTCTCTATTTCTTGGCTTCATAATCRAAAACAGTCCGATCCTCAAAAGGCCAGGGTTTTTTCTCTCACAGCAAGGTCGCTTTACTTCTCTATACAGGTCTCTCTCTCAATATGATGGAAAAAGTCCTTTTCAAGAACAACTTATCTCCTCCAGCTTGTCCGAGAACCACAGCAAGGGCACAGCTTCTCCTTACTGTTCTGTGATCTTGAGGTGTCTCCATTTTTCTTCTTACATCTCCTCACCCTCCTGCTCTGTTTCTTTCCAGTGCAAGATACTAAAACTACATGCTATCAATTAACCTAAACATGGCGGCCGCATCTATCTTGTTATGAATTCTTTCTTAAATACTACAAAATACGTCATCACAGAGGTGTAACTATCCTGTGTAATTGGCCCAGGCCTGATGGTCAGCCTGTCCATCAACCTCAGAACCAATGATGGGTTGGCTCTGAAACACAGGAGGGGGGCAGGCCTCCCTTTGCTGGAGAAGAAGAAGAAGGAGACACCCCTAGGACTTCTCACAGCAGCCATCTTTGTGGTTTCTTGATCCCCATCCCCCACCACCAAAAACTGGACCAAGCAAAACCATGACATCCTATCACAAGTAGTTTTTTCAGAGAGAGGGTATTAATGTGTATGCTTCCAGATATGTTTTGTGTATTGTCTATAGTTCTGTAGTTTTGCTTCAGCATTTCTTCTGTCTGTTGTTTGATTAACATATGAAATGTTCCACTCTTTCATATGTATGAGCATGATGTAAATATTTATTCGACTTTGTTCTGTAGATCTAGCAGCCAGGTTGCATTGTCTGTGAAGAGGCTGTGGCAATACTTGGTCAAACAGGAAGAAGTCCAGGAAACTTTTATCAGGAATATTTTTACAAAGAAGCGATGCCTAAATGAGGTTCGTATGGTATATAAAATGCAGAAACATTGCAGGCCAATCTATGAACCTAAAGTTATTTGGCAGGCATGTTTCTGTTTCTGTTGCATGAACGGTTAATGACTTACTGCAGATTTGGAATCATAGCTATTTCATACAAAAATACTTGTCCCTTGTTTCATAGAATACATACATAATCAGACTTTGACTGTTAAAATGACAGTGGTTGCTACAGTCAGTCTCTTCTTTATTATTAGTATAAAAGGTAGCTCAAAAGAATGACAAAATTGAACATTTCAGGGATTGAAACCATGGCTTCCTGTTACAATATGATTCAATTTTTATAAGTGATCATTCAGCAGTAACAGTTTCTCTCCCTGATTATTTGTACCAGTGTCTAGCTGGATGCCAGTTCCAGATGCAGTTTAATGTTTTTAAATTAGTTTTTGGTTTTTTTCTCCCTCTTTAGTTGGCCCTTTTTTTTCTTGCTTCCCCTTTCTCCTAATTATGAAAGATTTGCTGATATTATAGAAAAACTGTGGAGTAGCAGAAATGGAGGAGAAAGAAGCAGATGTGAACAAATTAAATAGGCTGGAGAAAGAATATTCATGACTAGTAAAGCCATGGCAGCAGAGAGTTCAGCATGACCTAACCTTTGTCCTGTCACAAATAGAATATAAGCTTGTTTGATTAATGTGCAGTTAAAAGTAAAATTATATCTTTTTGGCCTTTAAAGGTGCATCATTTCTGATCATATCTTATGTTAACGCAGCTATGTCGCTGTGCTGTATGGATAGGTATTTTGGTAAATTTTCTGTGTTCTTTCTATGTTTAAGATAGGCTCATTTACAGCCTTACACAGCATAGGTGTGTTGGCTTAATTTTCTATCTTGTTGCTGATAAAATATCTGTGTAGATAGCTTATTTTTCAATATATTTTACTTTTGGGAGGGACAAGGTGCTGTTACAATACAGAATAGGTAAATCAGTGTATTCTGCACTAAAGACAGAGTTTAGAATTTTTTGATTATTCTTACTATGTAAAATACGTGCATGGGTGTGCAAACATGAGGTTGTGTTTCTGTTTTCCTGTGTTGGGGTAAGCAAGGATTTCCTTGATACCTTGTGCATTATGTCTTATTTTTATGCTTTGTTCTGTGGTTGTTCTTTTCKTGGTGAAGTCATTAGAGGAGCACAATGAAACTATGAAAAATTCTGTGGCGGAGGAGCCCATCATCAATAAGGTACATAGTAGTAATCCTCAAATTTATTAGACTGTATATCATTATGAATTTTGTTTCTAGATGGTGCTGATTTCCTTAAAATCTTTGCTCACATAGCAAACTTAAAAATTAAAAAACACAAGGGTTTGAGTTAAACTTGTTTTAGATTTTATCTGAAATGTAATTATCTTAGCTGGATTAAGCAACCAGGTACAAACATACAAGTTTGTACAAAACATAATCAAGTTCTGCAGCTTGGCCAAGTGAAGACCTGAAGCTGAGATTTACCCAGGTGACAAAAATTCAATAGTAGTATGGTACACAGTGCATAGAGACGCTTTGATTGGTATGAGATGGCTGTAATAGTTGCTTATAAATGAAGGTGACTAACTGCAGTTAGAGCCATTTGTTAGCATGATACTAGTTTGCTACTGAGAACTTTCACTGAGCCTTATTTTAAAGTTGGAGATAAATCAACCAATGTTAGCAACTGTATTGAAAGATTCGTATGATGTACTAAAAAGGTATAGTACTATGTCTAGAAATTCAAACAAATTCCATATTCTTTATGCTTTCTTTTTTCTTTCACACAAAACCAGTGAAGACAGAAATGTGAACACTCTATGGTGTCCTTGGGCTACCTTGTTACTATTAATTATGTGATAAAGCAGTGTAAGCAAGTAGGTAATTAGAACTGACTGGGGGAAAAGTAATTTTAATTTCCTGCAGGTTTGTTCATCACAACATACAGATCATGGTTTTGTGTCTGTTTGCCACTGCAATTTTGTGCAGTGTTCTATACATAAAATCAAGTATAAATTTTGTTTTGACATAAAAAAGGTACTTCTTGGCTATGTTTTTTCACACTTTGGGAAAGACCATTTGCAATTTTTTGACTGAAAAATATTACTGTTTTGCAACTAAAAACTATGAATTTGAAGATGAGAGGCTGGAAATAGTACTGAAATAATTATTTGTTGGTTTTTTTATATTTAAACATAACATTTGTAATTCAGATTTAAAATCTCAGGTCACGAGTAGTTTGGCAGTGCTATTGCTTTTACTGTAAAATTATTTTGTAACCACAGCAGTCTGGGTCTGTAAACTAGCAATACTTACAGTACTGAGCTTTATAATTTTGAAAAGGACTGCGACAGTGCAGGTAAAGTTTAGAGTTTTGTTGTGCACTGGCACGTATCTGGATGCATTTCTAAAATACAAAATGGCAGACAATATTCAAATCCAACATTGGACCATTTTAAGAAAAAAAGCCAAAAACATTGTTTGGTCTCTGTACTTCCAGTAAATGTGGTGTTGCGCAGGTATTTACATTTAACTGTGCTTTGCTTTTTAAATACAGATAGAAACAGATTTGGGATACCCAGGTGGCAAGGCAAGAATAATCCATAAAGAGTCTGATATCATTACTGCTTTTGCAGTCAATAAGGTAAGTATAAAGGAGGTAGAATAATCAAATTGTGTAATTCCACCTGATATAGAGTCCCACTATGACTGGGTGAGATTGGTAAAAGCAGCAGGATGGCTGGCAAAGCCTGTTACAACTTTTAGCTGTCCCTTCTCTAAGGCACTTCAAAATTATCTTTTCATAAACAGTTATCCTACAAATCCTTGTCTTTTTCTGTTGTGCAGTGGATTGATGGAAGGAGAGGTGGCTTCTGCTTTTTTTTTTAAAGCTTGTCCCTTTCTGTCAAACAGGAAGTAATCTTTTCTTCCCTGTTCAGCCATGTGACCCTTCAGAACGGGAGGAGGGGAGCCTGGTTGTAAGCCTTGTAGTATAGTTACCTGTTACTTATCCTCCGAGAAAAGCAAGGACATTGAGAGGTGTAAGATGAAAATAGTGTGTGATACTATCCCAGATGCAAACCAGTTTTAAAAGGAAAAATGTCAAGTATAAACATACATAGATTTGTAGTTATAAATGTTAGGGGTTTGTAAATTAAGCGTATATTTTTGTGAGCAACAGTGCATTACCAGAAAAACTTAAATAAGCCCATTTATTAGTATTCCTTTTGCATCTTCCTGTATGTTTTTTTTTTTCCCCAGGCAAATCGAAACTGCATTGCAATAGCATCAAGTCACGATATTCAGGAATTGGATGTTTCTGCAATTTTAGCTACGCAAATCTATACCTGGGTTGATGATGATACGGAAATAGAAAATAAAGGGTATATGTTCTTTGTTTTTGATATCATACTCGACTGTGTATGAATGAGAGTAACAAATCATGGTGTTTGGAATCTTAATGTAAAATGTTTCTTTCATTTATAGGGCTGATGATTTCCTAGTTATACATGCTCGTGATGATCTGGTAAATGTTCAGGGAACCACTCCTTACACTCATAGTAATCCTGGCACACCTATCAATATGCCTTGGCTCGGTAGTACACAAACTGGCAGGGGTGCATCTGTGGTAAGTCATTTGCCAAAGATGATCTTTATGTATTCCATCTACTTCTCTCCCTTTCTCTGTTCTGTCTTGCTTGATATATTTTACAATTAACGTATAACTAAATATAGCCTTTCTGTGTAATTGAGCTGTATTTATTTATAACAATTCACTTAATAGGTTAAAACAATGCACACAATTTAAGGGACCTACTAAAAAGCAAACCTTTTAGTCAAGTCATGTGATTTTTTAAATACATAATCTAAAAATGAAAAATCAGAATTTAGGTAAGAAGTTGCACTGTAAATTCTTCTTTAATGGTTTGAATCCAAATGGTCTATTTGAAAAACATATATTCAGCAGGTTTCAGAAAATAAATTCATAAGGATTCGGTTGAAATATTTACACAAAATATTTTCTTGGCTTTTATTTTAAGCATTATTTTTAACTTCATTCTGAGTTTTAGGAAGAGATTTGTGTCTGGAATGAAGCTTGGCCCTAAGCAAAAAGCTATTAGGTTAGATTTAATTCAGATCAAATGATAATTGTAGTCTGGCCATTGACATTCTTAGTTCCTGTGGAGCATTGATACAGACCCCTTGATTAGCTGGCTGGGAGATTCTTGTTTGGAAACACTTAAGTGAGCTGAAATGGTCATACAAGACACCAGTATCTCTGAGTCTCTCTGCACATGGAGTGCACAAAGTGGAGTTTTTCTGAAGAATCAAATGCATTAAGTCTTGGGACTTGGCTGCACTTTGTGTCATTTAACAGTTCAAAGCAAGTTGATAACTGGTGGCATAATGAAATAACTGTAAGTTAATTAATACTGTAGTTCACTTTTGAAAGTAGCTGATGCACAGAAGGGGTAAATAAGGAAAAAGCATTATAAGAGTGGTAAGGTTTTCCACAGATAGAAGTGGGTTTTGTGTCATACCCACACTTCTGCTTTGAGTTTAGGAACTAGTGATCCTGCATGCCAGCATTACAGCTCTGCTGTCACAATCAGGTCTCTTCTTTGAATGCCTTTGCCGCTATCTCCTCTCACTTCTGTTTTTTAAATGTATATATATTTATATGTACATACGGAATTTTTGTGTTTGTGTTATTTCTCGACATTAAGTAATTGCATAATCTTTTAATGTAAACTGTATTTACATGACCTTCTATTTTGCATGTAGTAAAATTTTCTTCCTAAAAATATTTGTCTGTGCTTGTGTTCAATGAATTTGCTGTTAAACTGGGACCTAAATTTTGTCTGGCGTACTGTTTGACTGTGGCAGAGAACCAGCTACAGCACAGAACGACACCTGCCCGCTAGGGAGGGAAGTCAGAGGTACCTAATGAAGGACAAAGTAAATCAAAGAAGAAATAGGGATTATTGGGAGGAAATACTGTTGCTGTGAAATAAGTCAAACTGGGGAGAAAAGCAGCTTCACTAAGACCTTTCTTTTGCTACTATTTGCTACTTTGTTCCTTCAGATACTGCTGATTCTTGCTGTCATCTTTGCTTTTCCATAATGTGTGGCCCGTTTATCAGTTGTAGCCCACTGTTCCATACCATTTACTGGCTTTTCAGTCTCGTCTTTTCTTCGCTTTCATCAACAAGGGGCACTATTGGACTTCACTTACTCAGGCTGTTAAGGTTTTACTAGCTCTAAGGATTTTCTGTGACCCTTTGCTGTTTCTTGTTACACAGTTCATGCTAGGTTAGTAAGTTAAAGCCCCAGACACTTCAGCACTCTCTGTTTACACAGTTCTTACAGGAGGTGTTTGTAAGAGAGCCTTGAAGGAAATAATATGTACCTTACAGCTATGAAACTCAGGTAATGTTACCTACAGCTTGTCATACAAGTCAGTGTGACTGACACCAGTGGTGTGGATTTTAAGAGCATTTTTATTTTTCAGTCTTAGTGTATATTAGGCCCAAAGCTCCCAGCTCTCCAGCAAAGCAACCCATGYTCTAGCCCTGATCAGCTTTTCTAAGGGGAGACTGAGGGCTAGCAATATCAAGTGTCAGTTACATTAGTAATGGCAGTATTTGCATTTGATAATTGTACTTGTCTTCTAAATTGATACTGCACCAAAGAGTTACGTTAGTGTAGTCTTTCAAAGGCATATTTCTCTCTGTAAGTTTGCATTTTTCCAAAGCATTTCTGCCAGCAGTTAAGAGGTCACGGTGTGTGCTTAGATGTTGAATGGAGGAAGATGACTTCCATTGACTTCTGGGTAAAAGTTAGTAGCTCTAAAACTTAACACAGCCCTTCATTTCAGTGAAGAAATAGAGTGAACGTGAACTATTGTTCTTCCATTTATGTATAGAAGATAGGTTTTACGTTTAGAGGGCAAAGTATTGCAATTCTAAGTGCTCATACCAATCTGTAAATGTTTAAAGAGTATCATTCTCTGTTGTCTAATCTTAAATTTTGAAGTGTATATATAGTTTTACCAAGCCATTTGGCTCTTTTCCTTGACATTTAAAGTACTTAGAGAAAGGGAAATATGTATTTCAAGATCATATTTTTTATGTTTAGGAAAGTGTTTTGAAATGAATTTGAGTAACTGAGGGACRTAAGGCTTTTCTCTTCAACAAATGATAAAGCTTTGAGAATTGAAAATCTAAGTCTGCTTCCAAAATGTAATTAAGAGGATTGCAGTTATTCCATTAATCCAAAAGCGGGGAAGTTTTTRCAAGAAAGTAAATTATTTCCCTTCCAAGTGCTTTTCCTCATTTTTGTTTGCAAAATGTTAATTTAGAGGCTATTTCTTTTAAAGTCCATGGATGGTATTTAGCAATGTGAAGCACATGAAAATTTGTAATTCATGCCTCCTTCCAGATGACACCATGATATAATTGGAGGCCAGGGGAGAACAGCATACTTGAAATACCTCATCACTGTCTGCTGCCCCATGACAAAGCAGTGTTAAAATTCTGTACAAAATTATAGCAGTTGAAAGTCACAGTTGGATTCAGTGATTAAAGTCTTTTCCAACCTAAGTGTTTGTCTGAAAATAGTTCAGTGCCAGCTTGCTGTTGGTGTGTGGTAAGTGGCATGCTGCTGTGTTGCAGATGAGTGCCCTGGCAACAAAATTTCGTATGTGTTTTCATTTGAAGTTAACACATGCCACAAATATAAATTATGCCTTTCTCAAATGCTGAGGTAAATAATACATGCATGACCAACCCAAATACAACAATTTTCTGTTGAAAAGACAGTCCTCAAAGTAGTCAGATAATTTTGAGAGCTATCGGGAAATAAAAGAATGAAAGCTTAACTTTGACATTAAAGGAAAGAAAAGAAAGGGACATCACATGCACAGATACATTTCCCCAATTAAAAAATCCCTACTGTTTTTTCCCCTTTGTGTGTTGGATGTATAATTTAAATGGATGGGGTTTAAATATAATTGTCTAAAGTCTCCAATCCCCTTCACACATTGAATTCTTCCCAGTAGAAAATAATAAAAGAAGGAAAACTAAATCTTGGTAATGTACCTTGCGCAAAGCAAAGTTTATAATTTAGGAACAAACATGGTACTGAAAATTCATTGGATCTGTATTTGTGAAATTATAACATGAAGATTTTTTTAATTTATATTTTTTTATACCAGTTGCTAGGCATATTGCTTATTCTGGATGGCCGCAAATAGCCACTTTTCAATCAATGGCAATAAATTAACTAGACTTAAAAATAGATATATTCCTTCCTATTTTTTACTTCTGTTAAAGTTTGTTTACCTCTTTCTTTACATGCTTCTGCCTCTCTCTTGCTTATCTTACAATATTCAGGAATATTCCAATAAATTTAATGGAATCAGAAAGGAATTGGCAAGAAAAGAGGTAAGACTGCAGTCTAAGGAGTGTTTGTATTTGGATCCATACGTTTCTGAAGCAAAAGTTTAATATTTATCTAGATGCATAAAGCTGCAAAAGTGTTAACATCTACATTAGTCTTGGAAGACACTGACTTCTCTCTGAATCTTTAAACCCAGTACTTGTTTTCAGTAGGAAGTTTGATAGGAAACAACTTTCTGCAATCACTAATTACTAGTTTGATAAATTTTTGCTCTGTAATACTATTTAATTGTTTTCTATTTATTGTATATTGAACAGATGCTCAAGAAAGCTATTAATAATGTCAGAAGAATGGCTTCTCATCCAACACTGCCATATTGTAAGTTCAGGTTTTTTTTAAAAAGAGAAAAGTTATCTAAAGATTATGTATTTCTGACTTACCTGTTCCTTGGCATGCTGCAGTTTTGTACTAGCACAGCAGCTGATTGTATGTTTTGAAAGTTGTTTATAAGCCATGCTTACTGTAACTTACTTTTCATTTTAAAAAACAATACTGGAGATATGAAATAGCCTTTGGAAACAGTGATACAGCACTTTTTGCTCTAAGATGTATTTCTCATTTATTTGTTACTAGAATGAAAGATGGTAGAAATAAGTAAATAGCTTCATATTTCAGTACCACCTAAATACAATTCTTAATTAAATAATGGATAATATGACTTTAAATTGCAATGACACGTCCTGCTCCTACACCAAGCCAGATGCTATGGCATAATTTTGGCACTAGTTATTTTGAGTTGGTGTCAGTTTTTTTTAAATTTTAAAAGCTACAACTCTTGTGACAAGTCATGTAAATGTTTTCTGTTGCAGACCTGACAGGTGCTCAAGATGGTAGTGTAAGAATGTTTGAATGGGGTCATGCACAGCAAATCACATGTTTTCGTTCTGGTGGCAATTCAAGAGTAACTCGAATGAGATTCAATTATCAAGGAAATAAGGTAGCTGACAAAATGCTTGTATACTCATTCTCTTCTCCCCTCTACCAGTATAACTGTAAAGTAGCAAAAACATGACATTCTTCAAATTAGAAGTATTTTCTCAAAATTGTGGATATTTTCTCTGCAATACAAACATATGTATTTATTATTACTGTATATTTTCTTTCAGTTTGGAATTGTTGATGCTGATGGATATATAAGTTTATATCAAACAAATTGGAAATGTTGCCCACTTACTGGAACTTCACCTAAACCATATTTGGTAAGATGAATACTAAATCAGCTTCCATGAACTTGTGTTGTGCTCTTACTTCTTTCCCCCATCAGAATAACTGGGAGAGGGCAAGGATTATGCTGATAACCATATTAATCAGGATTAAGTTACGTATTGTTGCTGTTCTGTGATCTTTATGACAGACAGGTTCTTACAGTCTAATCATAACTACTAAAAGTGGAGAGTTGAAAATGTAACATGAGATCTGATACAACTTTAATGTTCACTGAGATTTGTCAATGATTGTCAGTTGTCAATTAATTGACAGTTACACAGGATTGCAGAATATAATTACATGAAAAAGGTTTCACAAGGTACATCAATGCCTTTATATCCCATATTCTTTAAATTTCTTACCTTACCTTACCTTATCAAGGAAGTGTTTAATATTTCCTGCTTGCACAAAATAGTTTCTCTTTAATTAATTAAATTTCTAACTGCAATTTTTCAGACATGGCAGTGTCACAACAAAACAGCCAATGACTTTGTTTTCATCAGTTCATCATCTTTGATAGCTACAGCAGGATTTTCTTCTGACAACAGGTAAAATCTGTTGTGATAATACACAAAAAAGGTCCCATATTTTCTCTCCCTTTTTTTTTTTTTTAAATGATTCTTCTTAAGCAATTTAAGAGTACTTCTGCTTGATTTCTTTCTTGGTGGGAGGGGGAGAGAAGCAATGTTGGCAGCTAAATTCATGTGCCTATTAAAGGAGGTTTCACAGGGATGCACAGATACTSTGCTCACGTTCCATATGAGGAAGGGAAGTAGAGAGAACGAGGTCTTGAGTGCCTCTGCTGGGAATTCAGTGAGGGATGTGTAGGAATGGCTCAAAACTGAGTCCAGGGGACGTTGAGACTGAACATCAGGAAAAATTTTATTACAAAGAGGGTCAGATGCTGGAACAGGTTCTTTGAGAGGTGGCCAGTGCCCCAAGCCTGTCAGGTTTTAGGCATTTGGACAATGCCATTAATGACATGCTTTAACTTCTGGTCAGCCCTGAAGGTGTCAGGTGGGCAGACTACAGGATCCTTCAAGACCCCTTCCAGCTGAACTATTCTGTTCTGTTCTACTCACATGAACCTGTCTGAAATATTTTTATAGCTGTAGGGAATTTGCGTAGCTCTTCATTTCTCATTTGTTTTTGCAAGTAAGTATTGATCAAAAAATACCACAAGCTGCTTACATTCCTATGAATTCAGCTACATGAGAGTGTTTACATGAATCCTTTATGGGTATAGCCAGTTGTAGAATGATTGTGTAGAAGGCATGTTCTTGCAGTGTATGTTCAACTATGGAACTATTTGGGGTCTGCTCTAAACTAATCACTGGAAATCTGTTTACATTGCTTTTGTGCCTGAAACAACCTTTTTAAGGTACAGGTAACTTTTGAAGTGTTCAGAATAACATTTGTTGCTGAATTAAGCTATATTTTTTTCTACAGAAATATTTGTCTTTGGGATACTCTGGTTTCTCCTACAAATAGCATGGTGCATGGTAAGTAAAATACAGCAACCAAAATATCTGACTGCAGTATAAAAAAGGTGTATTTGTGTGTCTACCTRTCTGGAAAAGTTACTGTGGGAAGTAGTTTTAACATGGTTAGTAAAATGTCATTCTTCCTTCCGTGTGAATGCACCAATGGGAATATAAAACCAGGTTCTATGTATATGATTGGTTTCAGGGACATGAGCACCTTCCTTTGAATACCTTCTGTCCTTGCACTACAAGTTGAAACCAGACATTTCTGTTCTTTTTTAAAGGTTCTGAGCAGCTTTAGAACAGTTACGCTTCTAAGCAGAATTTTGGAGGTGCAATAAATATTTGGCTGGGTTTCATTAGCTTTATTACTAATATTTTGTTGCAAGTAACACAACAAATGCATTTTAATATCTGAAATGCAGTATTAAGATCACCGAGTTGTGAACTCCCTGTACTTAAAATATGGTGAATGCTTTAGTGTATGTGAGAGGCACGGGGAATTTGTAAACGTAAATTTATTGGCCCTTTGAACTACAAGTACAGTGTAAAAGGGTGTATTCTGGTAATTGTAATTTTCATTCATTTTTCCCACTCATTTAGGGGAGTAAACGTATTCAAATAAATGTGGAAAAAAAGCAAATTAGCATTAAAATGACCWGCGGAAACTTGCAATATATTTGGACAGGTAGTTCAGGAGGAATTTCTGATGGGTATTATATGACTTAAAAAAACAGACAAATCTGTTAATAGCGGATTATTAAAATAGCCTGTTTCCAATTTTGTTTGTGAGTTTGTGATTACACCAGGAAAGAATAAAAGAGTATAATTTTTTTAATAGTGGTTTTAATTGCTTAATTTGAAAATACTGCACCTTCAGAATGTCTTCTGGGAACCTGGATTTACATGTTTATGGTACTGCAATAAGTAGGCTGGTGGTAGTCAGTTGAATTACAGCATCAAAGTCAGTGTCACTACTGTCTTGAACCATTAGAGGTTGATGGAAAATTGAAGTTAGAACTGTGTTTTATTTAAATTACTTTTCTTTGGCTTTCAGCTTTTATCTGTCATGATAGTGGAGCAACTGTGCTAGCATATGCTCCAAAACATCAGTTGTTAATTTCTGGAGGCAGAAAAGGCTTTACCTGTGTAATTGATCTTCGCCAAAAGCAGCAGCAACAGTTACTCCAGAGTCATGATTCTCCAGTCAAAGCAATTGCTGTTGATCCTACAGAAGAGTATTTTGTCACGGGATCTGCTGAAGGCAACATAAAGGTATTAATGAGAGGGAGGGAGTGGAGATGATTTGTTCATGTGGAAAAAATCTTGTTCAGGTGTGGAACCATCAGGTGTCTTATTTACTGCATTCGTTCTCAACCCTGACTTTGATATTTACTAATTTAATAATGAAATGTCTGTCTTGCCTCCTTTTAATACAATCCTTCTTTTAATTAGTCTCTCCAGATATTTCCTATTACAGAAAGTGAATGTTAGTATTCTATAAACCTGTCATTACAGATTGTCTTCTTTTACAGTAAGTGTCAGAAAAATAAATGCAAAATATAGTCCAAGTCCTCCACAATTCATTGCTAATGATTATTAAGATCAGAGTCATTATCCTTATAAGAGATTCATGTTTTGATGCTTTTCCAGGTGTGGAGTCTGTCTACATTTAATCTTCTTCACACTTTCATCAATGAGCATGCCCGACAGTCTCTCTTCAGAAACATTGGGACAGGAGTCATGCAAATTGAGACAGGACCAGCAAATCACATATTCTCCTGTGGTGCTGATGGAACAGTAAAGATGAGAATCTTGCCTGATAGATTCAGCCCTTTAAAGGATGTGTTAAAAAATGATGTGAAGTTTATGATCTAATGTTTTTCTCAGAATAATGAATAACATTCCCCTTCTGCCTCCCTGAAAATATTTTTCCTGGAACTAACCAACAAAGCAGATGCACAATGATAGCTTGTGACAAAGATGTTTTGGGGATTTTTCTTTCTCTGCCCCCGCTTCCCTATTTATTAATTACCTGGAGCTTTTAGTCCGTGATGCACTAATGCCTTAAAGACTAACAAGGTCCTTCACATTTTGATCATTGCCTAAAATAAAAGCTAAATATGACTCCAAATTACATAGTTATAATATTAAAATGTTGCTGAAGTGGTTTACTCTTCTTCTTGAGGCAGTTGCACTCTCACCTTGAGTGTACCACCTGGGCTTGACCTCTGCTTGTATTCAACACCTGGCCACTTTGTAAAAGCATCTCTGTCCTGATCGAAACCTTAGGTAATGCTTTTTCACTGTGGTAACCATACATGTTTCTCTTCTCAATTTGTTTAGTGAGCCAAAAAAAATTTATACCTATGTGCAGAAGAGAAACAAAGTCTGTAGGAGTGAATACTCCTGGTCATGCAAGCATTAATCTAACAAGCCACTCTCTCTCCATTCCTGGAATCGAGGCTATTTACCTCTCTAACTTGCCTGATCTCCTTCCTCTCATCTAGGGTATAAGAAACTGAAGGATGTTCTGTAACTTGTCTTCTGTTCTATAGCTTGAATCACTGCCATCAGGATGGCAGATTTACCTTTTAAAAATAAATATATTTTTGACCCTGAACACTCCCTTTACAAAAACAAAGTGTAAATATGAATGAATATCTTCCTAGTAAAATAGTCAAGATTATGTGTGAAGCCTTAGACTTGATAAAAAAAGATACAGGAAGATACTGCTTTAGGATATGGCACTAGAATTTCTTCAAAGACTATTTATTTAGGTGTCTGTAGAGGAAATAAAAGAAAAACCCATCCTAATTTATTTCTACTTTTTTTTCCAGTAAGACTTTTATTTAGCCCAAAGATAGTTCATTCTTAGCACTTACATTCTTGTTTGTCTAGTTTTCCTAAGTACTTTACAAAAGGAAAAAGGAAAAAGTACTTCAAAAGCAAAGTGCTTCTACACTGTCAGTCTTTCTTTCCTGATATTTATGTTTACATCTGGTGTCAGATGAAAGAAAACTAATTGAAAAGGATAGATGTAGAGGGGATTTTTTGCCAAATTTATAACCTGCATAACTTAAATGTTTGACCAAATTATTAATGCACAAGGCCTTTACTTTTGTTTTTTTTTAAGTCGGCTCAACTGTTTCTGTATGTATTTTGGTTTACTTTTCCTTACTTGAGAGCTTGACAAAGGTTTAATTTGTAAATTAGATGTGAGGCTGAATTACTTGAATGCCAATGGTGTACTTTTTGCTAAAAGATATTTTGTGAAATATAGCACCAAGATATTAACTGTAAAATAAACTTGTCAAATTATGGAACTATGGGGATAAATAAAGCATAGCAGAAATGAAGGGCTTGTATAATGAAATATGTAACATTCTCAGGATGCTTTTATCTTAAGAATATAAAGTTGTTTAAAAAGATTTTGTAAAATGTATTAAGGTCATTTTAAATGTGTGTTTCGCAAGTTGCAGTGCAAACACTATGAAGGTTTATATGCACATAACCTGAATTTTCAAATTGTGCAATAAAAAGAATGTGAATGTTTTGCCATGAAGAAACATGTGACAGCATTTCAAACTGGTACAGCTGTTCAGTGGTTCAATTGTAATTGTTCTTCCTTAACACTTATAGATTGAAATTGAGCTTGATATCGAAACAGTTTAAGTACAGTGATGGGCCAGAAAAGTGACTAAAAGTGACACCACCTTACAAAACAGACTTGTCCCGTGAGTATTGTGTTATCCACTCAGTGGCTGAGTTTCTAATATTCTTTATTCTTGTGGAAGAAGGAAAACAGTGGAGTAAACAGTAGCACACTTCTTTAGAATCAGCTGAAACCCTGACTTTTTAGCTGCTTATATACATGCGTCAGTTTTATACACCCACTGAACTAACAAAGTTACATGTGCAAAAATCATGGCAGTATTATATAATTATGTCCTTGATGTTTTGTCCTTAAATATTTATATCTCATTAGCTTTAATACTCCAAGCTCAAATCTATTGTACTGGCAATCACAAAAAGCTGTCTTACCATCTGCGAACTGAGCAGGTTTTAAATGTAATTTGCCAAGACATACAATGTTGTCATTTTTCCGAGTAAAGCTGCACTTTGAAAAAACCTGGCAAACTTATGCTTATACCAGAAAAGTACTGACCATGAACAGGCATTTCCAATAATGTTTATAATTACCATAAGCTAGTCTCAAAAGTAAATTATGTAAAATCACAATGTGTTTGCCACACCTTTATAATCTTTCCAATAAATCCTGCAGAAACTCAACCCTCTAGAGTTCCATGTTGCTGCTACTTCATTTACAAATCAGTTGTTAGCTTGCATATTGTTCATTGATGTTTAACTATTGTATGACAAATTATCAGTAGCTTTCTTGTAATGATGAAGTCAAAATGAGTTAAATTCTGTTGTATCTGAAACTCGTAAAGGGACAATTTCAACTTTGCATGTAGTCATTGGAAAGAAATTAACTCGAAACCGTCTGGCTGTTGCCCTTAACTTCCACTGACTTTTGTCCTCCAGCAATTACTGTTTTTTCCCTGTCGCTACGCAAGTTAGTCAAACTTAAGGGTACTAGTGCCTACAGAGGGCCCTGTGCTTAAAGTAGCCACATGCACAAATTGAACGTAAAATTTGCATTTGCCAGTGCTTAATCAATAACGATTTGTTGTCCAGACAAAATAATTTAGCTTGTAGTTGATAATGTCCCTTTTAAATATCATAGGCTGGGAGTTGTGACTTGTGTTTGTGTAACAATACATAATGCTGTCGGAGTGTGTCATTCCTGTGTTGCTAACTGATTCCATTACCTCAGATACATGATCCAAATTCTTTCTGATTACTTCAGTACGTTGTAAAGCTAAAACTCTGGCCATTCGGGTACTTAAACTGGCTTGCTGTGTGACTTTACTCCAGAAAATTCTCAGCCAACAGCTGACATTGTGGGATATTGATGGAGAAAGGTGAAATAGGTGCAGACTTTGTACCACACCAAGGTGGTGCAGGGTGAGGTCATACAAGTTCTACTGCGTTTTAGGAACCTCAGAACCAGTGGCAGGAAATAAACTATGGAGATATCCTACACTAGTACCCCCTTCCTCTTTCGAGCACCCAGTGTTAGATTAGATGCAATAGTTACGAAAAAGCAACAGTGATTAAGGGGAAATAAGCTTGGAGATTATACATTCTYCAAGGTAATTATTTTAAAATGTTTATTTTTACTAAAAATAGCAAAACCATCGCTAATGGCAGGTTCAGCACACTGATCAAACTACTTTCTATAAAATAAAGATATTGATTTATGAAGTTTCTTAGTCTTTGTTATTCCTCCCATTTCTAGCTCTAAAATGTGTATGATTCCAGTATTTCTCTTTTTTTCCTAATGCCTTACTGTCTCACACTTTATCTTTCCGTGTACTAGCTTTTTGGTGTTTTGGGGCTGTTTTGGTGTTGGGTGCTGGTTTCTTGATTTTTTTTTCAATGCATAAATCACAGAAAGATTAAAACTAAGTTATTTTGCAGTGGAATGAGGATGATGTGATGGCACTTACTGTGTTCTGCCACAGCTTAACTTTTGATGCCCCTTTTCTGTTTCATTTAAGCTTGCATGCCTGTGGAGGTTTTGGGGAGCTTCAGCCATCTCTACGTTCCCAGCTGTAGGAGGGATGCAAGGATAGTGGGCCTGTTACAATCTGATTAGTGAGAGCTGCCCAAATTAAGGTGCAAACGAGATGAAATGCCACTTCAACAATACTGACTTGATTTTGTAGCTTTGATTGTGTAGGAGAAAAAGAGAGAGATACTAGCAGAAGACTGCCACCACCTGTGGATTTGGCGGTGCCCTGTTGGTCCTTTTTCACCTTTGGCTTCTCAGTGATGAGCTGGGGGTCCTAGTTCATTCTTGGTTTGGCAAGTTCTGTGTAGAGAAGAGTGCTGGGTACACAAGATCAGCCACTGACTGAAAACTTTTCACTGTGCATTTTAGCAAACAAAGCAATTACTTCTTATAGGCTACACGATGCATAGTTCTCTCAGAATTAAACCTTCCATGGTTAATGATTCCATTGCTTCCTGTGCTAATTAGGTCTTTCTCTTTTGAGTCAATGGGTTTCTTAGTTCGGAGGGCTATGAGCTGGTGGTTGCAATCTYCTGCTGCTGGAATTACCATCCAGTCAAAGATGCTTGTAGCACAGTTGCTGAACTGTATTTGTTAAGTGTCCTCCTTATCTTGGGAGTTCTGCCAGATGTCCTTGTGGCCTGTGAGTTTTGCATTTTTTGTATCCACTTGCAGTGGTACATCCTTCTTCCCAAGCTTTGTTAACCTCCCCCTAGGTCACAGAACAGTACTGCCTTTCTACAGTCCAAGTTCCTGGTGTCCACAGAGGCCCGTTCGGGACAATTTCGGAGGCTGTGGATGGTTGCAGAGACCGTCTGCCCCGTGCCTTGGGATGATCTTTCTTCGGTGGTAGGTGTGTAAGCTGCTGCTTTCCAGTCTGTCCCAGCAGGARTGCATTGACCAGGTTGTGCTAACCAGATCTTGCCCCTGCCAAGCCTGGAATTAGCATCTTCTCGGCACAAATTCCTCTCTTCTCTAGTCTTGTAGAGTTTGACAGGCACTTTAACTCCGAACAACCCCTACTCCAGTCACACAGTGAGCAAAGTAAAGTACGCATCCCGTCAGGCTCCCAGCAGGCTGCTGCCAAAATTTAAAATATCTCATCGCACAGCTCCGTAAATATAAACAATTTTATTTAGGGTTTGGTAGTTGCCGCTTGGGCGAGAGGAGGCGGCGGGGGTCGAGCGGGACGGGCGGGCCCCGCCCCGGCCCGGGGCGATCTCAGGGCAGGGCAGGGCCGGGTGCCCGCCCCGCCCCGGTGCCGGCGGGGAGCCGGGAATTGCCGCCGCCGCCGCTCCGTTCCGCTCTGCTGTGCTCGGCACCGCCGCTCCTTCGCCGCCGCTCCGTGCACACACAGTAAGTGCGGCCGCTGCGCTCCGCGGGGCCTCGTSCCGTCCCSRTCCCGATCCCGATCCTGCTCCCCTCAGCTCCGGCCCCTGCCCTGCGCGCCCGCGGCAGCCGCGGCCGAGCGCTGGGGCTGGGCTGAACTGGGGCTGGGGCTGGGCTGAGCTGGGGCTGAGCTGAGCTGGGGCTGGGGGTGGGCTGGGCTGAGCTGGGGCTGAGCTGAGCTGAGCTGAGCCCGGGGCGCGAAAGGCTCTGGGGCCGGGGTGCTCCCGGAACCGCGCTCCAGGTGGGAGCTGCCCGGAACCACGCGGGGAGAATTTCCTCACGCGTCGATGAGTTTGGGTGAAGGCTGCCCTGTCCTGCTCTGCCCTGCCCTGCCCTGCCCTGCTCTGCTCGGGGATACCGAACCTCCGCCGCTTCTCCTGGGCTAGCTTTTTGCTGCTTTTCCGGAAATGTTTGTTTCTGTTCCCCTCGTCCGGATGTGCTTGGGAGCGCACAGGACTGATCTGTAGCTCCTGGGACAGGGGCAACAAGTGTGGTGATGCAGCTGAAGTCTGCACGGTGGTGGTAAAAGACAAACTTTCTGAGACGTGCTGGTTTGGCTTCAAAACTACTAGCAAAAATCCTGATATCCTGCCAGTAGAATTAGCTGTATATTATTTACGTACTACTAATTAAATAAGAGAGATCACAGTTCAATGTRGGCTTATCCCTTTTAGAAACCTGAACGGTCAGGCCTTCCACATAGGTCTGTGTGTCTGCAGAGGTGCATATTCACAGTCTTACCTGACCACGCTACGCACGGGTAGTGAAGCAAAGCGCAAATCCAAGTGATGCTTCCTTCTCTCTGCACGTGTCTTGTTTCACTTGGGCTCCTTTGCAAATTGTTTGTGTAACTGGTCAGTGAAACTCAGTGACAAACTGCCTGGCCAAAACTTCTCCCAGCGGTATCCCAGCTGGCTGGGTTGACTGCCAACTCTGTCTTTTGTCAGTTCTAAATAGGAAATTTGCTTTGAAAGAGCATCGACAGTGGAGAGAAAAAAAACAAAACCAAAAAAACAAACAAACCAACAAATCAAAAGTCCGTAGGGGAGGAGTTTTGCAGAGGAAAGAGGTCCAAGACCTGTATTTGGATGACAAAACTTCATGAACTTGGAACATGCTTAGAAGCAGGAAGAAGGAACTGAAATGTTCTAGTACATTTACATTTAGTACCAGAACTGAAGTGTTCTAGTACACGTAGTGTCTCTGTTTCACCTGGARCACTACTGAAGCTGTGATGCAGATCTTTGCAGGAGCATAAAACATTGCAGCTTGAAATGGAAGTTGCTTGCTGTTTGCCCTGACAACAGGAAGCTGCTCATTTCCGTTAAATAGTAACCAGCCTAATCTGACTAAACTTAGGTTTCAGTCTGCTCCAAGGCTTCATTTATCTCTTCTGAGTTTTCTTTAAATAGCTGCTKCTAGGTATAAAGAAGAATAATTGCTGCTGGAAAAGACTGTGGAAATAATCAAATGGTTGGGGGATGTCAGCTTTGTTCAATTTCTTRTTTTGGTACAACAAAGCAAGTTCTTCAAGTGATGGACAGTGAAATACCTAATTATTGTTAAAGCAGATAATACATTCTCATGGGTTAGTTTTATATAAGTATCAGAAATACTGAATAGCAATGGGTGGTAGGTGAATAGTAGGTGGTTTGAGATAAGTTATATCTTAGGATGAATTTTCTTCCAAGTTGCAGGTGTTCGTTCTTGAGTTTACCATGTAATAGAGATTTGGGGATAGAATTCATCTTTCTGTTGTTTTTAWTTCTTGTACATGAAGAATAAGAAGATGAAAAGAAAAAAAGTCACCAAGTGGTGTTTGTCATGATCCCACCATTTAATATATCCTTTTAAATTACTTCCTTATTCTAAAGAGTTGGTAGTATGTTTTCCATAGTATTTTTCTGTATTTATTACATTCTAGCTGCTTTGACCACTGTCTGGGTAAGCTTGGTTMCAGCTTCTTACATCCCTAAGATAAAACACAAGGGAACTGGACGGTACTTTGCTTCTTTTCCGTTTGTCTTTCTTTTCATACTGCCTTTGTAGGTAGGTGTTTTGCTATTTTTTATATTTTACCAATGTTAGATTATTTAAACTACTTTCATCTTCTCCCTGGACAAATTTCTTATGCTTGTGCATAAGTCACATTTTGTGAATCAAAAGAACATAACAAAATTTTACCAAAGATTAGGTATATAGGAAGAATTTTATCATAGGGAAACTATACTTTGTACACAGAATAGCTTGAACAAATGTCAAGACATATTCCAGTACTGCAAATCTCAATTTGACAGACTCTAGTGCTCTCGTTTTTTGGTTGAAGTATCGATACACAGATTGTGGTACTCCAGGAGCTATGATTTAATGGCAAAGTAACTTGGGGACTTTTTAGGGCTGGTCTGGGKTTTTTTTGTGTCCATTTGCTCACAACCGTAGGCAGCCATCTTGTCAATTTTATGTGTGATAAAAATGTTTAAACATTCTTCAACTGTGATGCAGTGCACATTCTAGGCCTCTTTATTTGAGACTGGTTTTGTAACCACAGAAAGTGAGTATGGCTCAAAATTAGTTAGGTGGTTTCCTAACTAATTTTTTAGTTTTCCCTCTTATTCCTCCTGTGTCTTCAGATCATAATGCCCAGACTGAATGTAACATATGTTCAAGTAAAAGTTAAGATGGCATTTTTTTCAGTTAAGCATGTGAACAAAAGGTTTCACACAGCATTTCTGCATTCTCAAGTMATGTTTTGCTCAAACCAGAATTTCCTTCTTTAGCCTAGAGATTAACCTCAGCCCCACTGAGAAGAGAGCTCTGTGCTCTGAGACTAAGGTGTGTAATTTGCAGAGTGGTGGTAGCACTTGGCTGTTTCTTTGGCATCTCTAACAAGTTTCAAAGAAGGGGAAGAGTGCAGAATACAGGATTTGTATTGGAAGCTGTGTTTCAGGTGCTGTTTTCTGAACTGATCATTGACCCTGTTAGTTCAATCCAAAACATCCCTTCTTTCTTCATTTCATTGTGGTGGTTCCTGGAATCTCTGTAGTGAGGCAGGTGTATGAGATGGAATATTGAACAAAGTACTCCACAATGTTTTAAAAGCTATTCATTGAATTAGTTTTTGTTTGAAAATCCAGATTGAACGGTGTCTCAGCCCTTGAGCAAATCACACAGGGGCTTAAAAGGTCTTACATGTCTTTCTGATGACAAAACCCTTAGTTTGCATTGATAAGTCACTAACTTGTATTATTGTTTATTATTATGTCCAGAAGACATCAGTACCAAAATCTGCATTGCTTTTACTCTTTTCTCATTAACTAAAATATTCTAATAGGTAAATTCTAATTTTGAATCCAGAATCTCATTTTTTCTACCAGAAATTCAGTTGTGCATTTTTAAATAACTCTTTCGGAAGTTCRGATTAGATACCAGGGCCCCCAAAACTGGGC